CGTTAATTGGGGAAAAGACAGTCTTCCTTAACAAATGGTGCTGGCACAACTAGATATCCATCTGCAAAAAACTGAAACAAGGCCCATACTTCACACCATGCACAAAAAATAACTCAAAATGGATCAAAGACTTAAATATAAAATCAAAAACGATAAAGATCATGGAAGAAAAAACAGGGACGCTAGGAGCCCTAATACGTGGCATAAACATGATACAAACCATAAGTAACAATGCACAAGCACCACAAGAGAGACTAGATAACTGGGAGCTCCTAAAAATCAAACACTTATGCTCATCAAAAGACTTCATCAAAAGAGTCAAAGACAACCTACAGACTGGGAAAAAATTTTTGGCTACGACAAATCCAATCAGCGTCTAATCTCTAAAATCTACAAGATACTGCAAAACCTCAACAACAAAAAGACAAATAACCCAATTAAAAAACGGGAAAAGGATATGAACAGGCACTTCAGCAAAGAAGACATTCAGGCAGCTAACAGACACATGACGAAATGCTCACAATCATTAGCCATTAGAAAAATGCAACTCAAAATTACAATGAGATACCATATCACCCCAACAAGGCTAGCATTAATCCAAAAAATACAAAATAATAAATGTTACAGAGGTTGTGGAGAGACTGGAATACTTCTACACTGTTGGTGGGAATGTAAAATGGTACAACCACTCTGGAAATTGATTTGGCGCTTCCTTAAAAAGCTAGAAATAGCAGTACCATACGATCCAGCTATCCCATTCCTTGGAATATATCGTAGAGAAATAAGAGCGGTCACACGAATAGATATATGCACACCTATGTTCACTGCAGCACTGTTCCCAATAGTAAAAAGATGGAAACAACCTAGGTGCCCATCAACAGACGAATGGATAAACAAATTACGGTCTATCCACACAATGGAATACTACGCAACAGTAAAGAACAACGATGAAGCCGTGAAACAAAACAGGGAGGAATCTGGAGGGCATTATGCTGAGTGAATTTACTCAGTCACAGAAGGACAAATATTGTATAAGACCACTATTATAAGAACTCAAGAAAAGGTTTAAACACAGAAAAAAACATTCTTTGATGGTTTCCAGGGTGGGGAGGGAGGATGAGGGTTATTCACTAACTAGATTTTTAGGTAAGAATTATCTTAGGTGAAAGGAAGGAGAGCACACACTACAGGGGAAGTCAGCACAACTGGACTAAACCAAAGCTAAGACGTTTCCTGAATACAATCAAACACTTTGAGGGACACAGCAGCAGGGGTAGGGGTCTGGAGACCATGCTTTCAGGGGACATCTACGTCAAATGGTACAACAAAGCTTATTAAGAAAATGTTCTGCATCCTACTTTGGTGAGTGGCATCTGGGGTCTTAAAAGCTTGCAAGCAGCCATCTAAGATGCATCAATTGGTCCCAACCACCTGGAGTAAAGGAACATGAAGAATACCAAAGACACAAGGAAAGTATTAGCCCAAGAGACAGAAAGTGCCACATAAACCAGAGACTTCATCAGCCTGAGACCAGAACTAGATGGTGCCCGGCTACCACCAATGACTGCCCTGACAGGGAACACAACAGAGAGTCCCTGAAGGAGCAGGAGAAAGGTGGGGTGCAGAATTCAAATTTGAGTAAGAAGACCAGACTTAATGGTCTGACTGAGACAGGAGGATCTCTGGAAATCATGGCCCCTGGATTCCCTATCAGCCCAGAACTAACACAATTCCCAAGGCCAACTCTTCAGATAGGGATTGGACTGTACTGTGGGACATAAAGTGATACTCGCGAGAAGTGTGCCTCTTAGCTCTAGTAGATACAAGAGAGTAAACAGGCAGATTCTGTCTGGAGGTGAGATTGGAAGGCAAAGAGGGTTAGGAGGTGATTGAATGGACATGGGGAATCAGGGGTGGAAAGGAGGACTGTGCTGTCACAATGTGGGGAGAGTAATTAGGGTCACATAACAATGTATGCATAAATTTTTGTATGGCAAACTAACTTGAAATGTAAACTTCAGTTAAAGTACAACAATAAAAAAATTATAAGTTAATCATAACCATTTCAGTTTGTCATTAGCAGATTAGTTTTACTTTGCTTAACTAAAAGTTTTCTAACAAAAATGAACTACATCAGATTTATGTTGTTGTTGTTAGGTGTCATTGAGTTGGTTCCGAAATATTTCAAACGAGCATATAATTGGACTAAATCAAGATTTCTAGGACTCTATGGAGAAGCCGATGAGGTTTTCCGACTGCTACTGCTCCAGAGTTGCATGGAACCAAAATTAACTACATGGGACTGAGTAAACTAAAAAATTACTGCAAGACTTATAAAAGAATATTACTGATGTTCAATGTTCTATTGACTAAATATAAGAAACCTTTTTTTTTCCTTTTCTTTCCCTTGTTAGTCCAGATCTGTATTTCAATGGTATAATCATTTAACTTTCATTTTGTACCTCGAATAGGATTAGAAGATCATAGCACATATCAAAATTCTGACTAAACATACTCAGTGTTTTAAATGATTCTGCCCGTGGATTCCAAGAAATGAATACTGAAATGACCATAATAAGAGAAGTAGTTCTTCAAAAACCGAATGGTCTTCCCTTATGTTACTTATACCAACAATCTTTAATCTAATACTCTAAAAGATATTTTTCATAGGTTAAAGAAACCTTTGATAAACAGAAAGTAGAATCCAAAAGTCTACTTAACACTTCCCCAGAATATACATATTAGAAGGACAACAATTAAAAGACTCATTGGAACCTCAATGAAAGGAACCCTACTTAATCCTTCTCACTAACCCTTGTAGTACTGAATTACAGGGGGTTAAGGCATGGATCCATCTGTCTCAGCTAAAGAAGGCCCTAACATCCGAGTGGACTTTTGGACCTGCTGAAGGACTCAAATAAAATTTTAAGTGATCCCAGGATGAGAAGCAGATGATATCTGAGTAGACGGCTTGCTTTCCCAAGACACCTGGACCAGGCCTGTACTTCTCCTCTAAGACCTTAAAGGACTTATGAATAAAGACAAGATTACTGAACTTTGACTGACTTCATCATATTTGCTATTCTCTTTTTCTAACATGCTTTTAAAATTTTATGCTCATGGTAAATGTCATTCTATACTTTCTGGAAATTACTTGTATGTATATATTGAGAGTGTTAACCTACTTTGGATGCTTGTAGTATTATTCTTTGGCTTCCTTGTAACAATCTCTATTATAGTTATTCTGCTTGCAAGAGAACTCGGACCCTTTAGCCACCCATTTTGGCCTATAACTTAGTTCCTCCTCCAGTCTTAATGATAGCCTAACTTTAAAGTGAGCTATACATATTAAATTATGGCACTCTCCTGAATTACTACACCACCCCAGAATTCCATGTTTTAATGCCCTGTTAACGTCCTATTCCCCCTAGATTTTACAATCTCTAGTTAGGCAACTGTATGAAGATATTAAATGGAACTATTTGTGGAATAATGCCTGCCTACAGAAATATTGGAAACAGAATCAAACTTAGGTAGATTATCTCTATGTAATAATTTTGTTTTTGAAGATTGATTATCATATGTTAAGCTTACTGTTCCCACACCAAATAATCTGGAGCAAGGTATAATTTGTCAACCATATGAAGATATTTTCCTTTATAGAGGCTCCAACTATAGTACCATAAGAGAATCTTATGTGGAAGACAGCCTGCATGCATGGGCTCTTCCTTGTTCAAACGGTTAGAGTATGAGGGGCCAGTACACCTTGGGAACCTTAAGTATTCCTCTAAGTATCCACACCCATGCAGATAGTATTCAGTGGATAAATGATCTTAAAATCCTTTCTGTTTCTAGGACAAATCTGGAATTACAAAGGAATCCTATAGCTGACCACCCTGGATAGGATAGTCCTTTTAGAGTACTACTATACTATGGTTAGGGACTATACAATTAGAGCAGTCCATTCACAACTTATCAGTCCAAAACCCAAAACAAGCAAACCTACTGCTGTCGAGTTGATTCCGACTCATAGTGAACCTACAGGACAGACTGCCCCATAGGGTTTCCAAGGCTGTAAATCTTCATGGAAGCAGACTGCCACGTCTTTCTCCCGTGGAGCTGCTGGTGGGTTCGAACCACTAACCTTTCGGCTAGCAGTCGAGTGCTTTAAACACTGCACCACCAGGGCTCCTGGTATAGGTAACAGTCTTTGTGAATTAACAAACCCACAAGGGGCAATGGGACTCTGACTTAGATCAGGATGGCTGATTCAGAGAAAGGATGCAAAGGCAGTTGATTTGTGAAGTACTAGCTCTGGGTAGTTGGGTGACAGAAAAAGGCTGCATGGACAGTCAATGAAGGACAGTCCTTCCAGCCTGTGACCTAGCCCAAGGGTCTACAGAGAAAGAGTGAGAGAGAGAGAGACCAGCAGTCTAAAGTGCAGGGAGTCGTGCAGACTCCTGAACCTATGGCTGGTACCCAATGACCTGGCTCTGGGTGACACGGGATAAAGTCTGACGTAACTCTGGGTGGTTAGGGTGAGAGAGGATGTGCCACAGAAGAAGTGGCTGGCAACAAGGAATGGCGATGTGGGAAGGTGAAGCCTGGGTCCATAAATTGGATTTATACTGATCCTGGCCATGCAGTTAGTGATAAAGGTGGGGTCGGCCCATCTTGTCCCTTTTAGTAGTATAGTTAGCAACAATGCACCTTCCAATGGAGAGAAAGTGACTAGAACTGTACAAGAGTAGTATATTCAAACAGCTCTCTAGTATAATACACCGTTATCTGACTTATCACATCTTAACTGGAACAAGGGACGAGCTACATATTTTAATATTCATAAGCTTTGTGTTTGAAGACTATTAAACCAGTGATAGTCTTAAAGGGTATAAAATATAACATAAATTATGATTTTTGTCTCTAACAGCAGTATTTACATATTATGACTCACAGTGATACTAATATTTGTTTGTTATACTTCCTCATCAGTTATTTACCTCCTCCATGTCATTACTTTTCCTCTTCCTGGGCTTGGAAATCTTAACTGTCACTGGTGAGGTACAACCAGGGTGCTTCACTGCCATTTTGTTTGGCCGCAAAGGTGTAAACTGAATCTCTAACTCAGGTTTTGGAAACCGAGTCATTTGAATATTTTCTGTTGACACTTCACAAGAGTCAAGGACTACAGATCCATCCTAGAACAGAAAGGGAAAAAATCTTACTTGTAAAAATATGAATTTATAAATTGCAAAGGATTAACTCCCTTAAATGCCTATTGAAGACCATGAATTGGGAAAGATTAAGTATGAAAGATAGTGTGCTGGGTCAAATTTACCACAACAAGAACAAAAGAATGAGATCTTATATACCCTCTCCAGGTTTATACATGATATGTTAAAACTGGAAAACTCAGAGATTAGTATTTCTCAAACTTGTATGATCGTAAGAATTACCTGGGGAATTTGTTTTAGATTCCTGGACCCTACCACAAACATACTAAATCAGAAATCTGTAAAGAAGAAGTCAAAAATTTTTAACAAGCACGCCACATGACAGATCAAAGTTGGATGCAAATTCTTTGCTACTCTTCCCACTGAGGGGTGGAATCTAATTCCCCTTTCCCTGAATCTGGGATGGCCCCTTAAAGGCTTTCATGACGAACAGGATGTGGTAGAAGTAACATCATGGTTCTTCTGAAGCTAAATCCTAAGAAGCTTTGTAACTCTTGGAAAACCTTTTCTTGGGACACTACCCCTCAAAATGCCCCTTTCTCAAAATCTAGCCACCATGCTGTGATAAGTCCAAACCACAAAGAGAAGCAACATATAGGTCCAGCTGAGCTCCTAAAATCAACTGCTAGGTATGCGAATGAATCATTTTGGACTTCCAGCCCAGTTAAGTATACTGATTTCATGCTGGAAAGAGAAATACATAAAAAGCATAACAAAACTATTCCCCAAAGCTGTGGTATAGACTATAATTGCTGGAATTCTTAATAGGAAATTGGAACCAAGAGGTTTATAGCAGCATACATAAATTTCTAAAGGAAAGAAATGTTCCATTATACGTAACTGCCTATGCAACCAAGAAGTAAACCTTATTTATGGATCAACTTCAAGCTTTTCCATGTTATTTTATGATCTGTACTAGTATCTACGGTCAATGCTAACTATGTGAAGATTCAAGAAGAACTATCAAGGAAAGGCCAAGAGAAAAGAATGGCTCGTGTTATTTCCCTAAATTGTCTTTGTCTTCCCCTTCTCTGTTTGATAAACTTCTATTCAATTCACCTTCAAGACCCAGCATAATATTATCTTCTTTAATCCACTTCCACAACCACTCAGGCAAAATCCATTGTATTCTCTTCTGTGTTCCTTGTAGCACCCTCTACATACTTCTGCTATTACATCTAGCCCATAAGTTAAGGTTAAATAAGTTAATAATTCATATGCCATCTTACTAGATTCCTTTTCTTTTTATATTTTTTGTTGCTGTTATTGTTGAGAATATACGCTGCAAAACATACACCAATTCAACAGCTTCTACTTGTACGATTCAGTGACACTGATTACATTCTTGAGTTTTGTAACCAGTATCACCCTCCTTTTCTGAGTTGTTCCCCCCCTATTAACATAAACTCACTGTCCCCTAAGGATCCTATCTAATCTTTCAAGTTGCTGTTGTCAGTTTGTTCCCATATAGATAGTTCTTTAAAACAGCACAACGTTCAAGGCAGACATTCTACTGTTGTTTACTGTATTGGTAAAGTGAAGGGTCAGCAAAAGAGACGAAGACTCAATGAGATGGACTGACACAGTGGCTGCAACGATGGGCTCAATCAAGCATAGCAATAATTGTGAGGATGGCGCAGTTCTGGGCAGTGCTTTGTTCTGTTGTTTGTACACAGGGTCACTATGAGTAAGAACCAACTTGATGGTACCTAGCAACAACAACAACTATATTGTTTGGTTTAAAGAAGACTTCAGGGGATATTTTTGATTTAAAGATTATCTCAGGGCAATAGTTTTAGGAGTAGATTCTTTCCTCTTCAAGGATAGCTATTATGTATTACTTATGTTTGTATCTCCTGTGCTTAGGAAGGTTCCCAACACTGAGTGCTACCAATAAATGTGTTTAAAAAATGAATTATAAAAAGTAATTTTATCTTCAAAAACTTTAAATGACATAGAATTTTTTTCTATTTCATATCCAAACTGAGAATCTCTAATATTATCCAAAGTGATTCACAGCACCCTAAGCCCACTGCTTAGGAAACTCATTGTGAGTTATCGACGTTTGGTGACAAAGTTATTGAATGGGTACAACTTCAAAGACCTGGCAATCTGCTTCCATGAAGATTACAGCCAAGAAAAATCTATGAAGCCCTTTAAACAATAAACTATTTAAGACCAAATGGTCATCATTTATACAAAAGCAAAGATGAGAAGGCAAGGAGGGGTAGGGAAACTGGATGGATAGAAATGGGTCAGGCAGGGTAGAAGCGGTGAGAGGGCTGACACATTATGGGGATTGTAACCAATGTCATGCAGCAATCTGTGTATGACTTACTGAATGGGAATCTGATTTGCTGTGGAAACTTTCACCTAAAAAACAGTAATATATTTTTAAAAAAACACCCTATAGGGCAGTTCTACTGTCACATGGGGTAGCTATGAGTCAGAATTGACTTGACAGCATTGAACAACAATAATAATAATTTCAAAAAAACACTATTTAATTGAATGATTAATAAAGGAACTGCTTATGAGAGCAAATAATCACCCCTATTTTATCTTTTGTGAGACTTTCTTTTTTGCACCATCAAGTTTGTTGACATTAACAGATCTGCTGTATTTGAGAGAAGATTAACAACCTTTTGGGGACTAATCTCCCGAAAGAATTTTCTTCTTGTCAAAAACCTCTAATTGTCCTTCACACAGCCAAAAGCACATTTAGCTAATTGTGCAGCAAGGTGCCTACAAAAATTGATCATCACCAAAACGGACTGTGTTACCAAACACCCACCTCAACTTCATTTGTAGAAATTTCATAACTTGTTGGTTGAGTTTCAGTTTCTACTCCACCAGGATCTGTTGAATTAATATGTCTGGGTATGATTTCCACACTTGGTTTTTCCTAAAGCATGGAAATATTAAAGCAGTAAGCCATTGTAACTTGAAAATATATCAAAATACTTTACATGGAGAATATAAAAATCAAGATTTCATGGACTAAACAGTGAAAATAAAGAGCTCTTTAATGACCACATAATTTTCCTCCTTCTCTCTTTCATCTTTAGAGACTCAGACAAATTCCTAAGCAGGGATTTGAAAGGTTACTCTCAATTTCCATAGTGTTTTACATATATTCTTTCATTTTACTTTCATTGCAACTCTCTGAGCTAGTATTCACAAAAGTCATTATTCCTACTTCCCAGATGAGGAAATACAGACCTAGAGAAGTTAAATGACATGTCCAACATCTGTACTGAGTTGGAATTTAAAGACCAACAATTGCTTTTGATAAAACAACTTTGAAAAACTAAAGGTTTCTTGGAAATGCAATTATACCACTGGAGTATAAAGGCCATATAGATCACAATACCTTTTCTTGCTGTCTACTCTTCATCCCACTTTCTCAGTAATAGGGCATGTTCTATTCCTATACCCTATCTAAGCACTCTATAAAGAAATTTCAGATTACAGGTTTAAACTTTTGATAAATTCCAAGTCATCAAAATCCAAAGTCAGCTACACTTCTTATGTCACCTACCCATTATTGCCAAATAGTCACGCTGAATCACATTTCTACTTTTTAAAGGTAGATAAAAAACTAAATCATGAATTGTTAATTACCTAATTACCCTACCTCGGAAAATTAAAAAAATAGTGGAGAAAGTACTATTTCTCAGTTTGTCATTCATAATTTAATCATAATGATAAACTGTAAAAATTCATAATACTTAATGGCAAATATTCAAATTATTTTCAAAACTGATTCATCTCTGGTCTACTAAAACTTTTTTTTTTTTTATCCTTTAAGAGTTAATCAATTAAATCTTGAAAAATTTCTGTGTCCAATAAAAAAAGTATAGAAAGAACAAGATTCTACTGACCATTTTAGAAGCCTCTGATGTGGTCTTTTTTAATTGTTCAATTTCATTATCTTTCTGTACATTACTAGAGATCAGTGCTCTCAGCTGTATTTCTAAAGCTGCAACCAGTTGATCTCGTTCTTCTCGCCATCTCTGGAGGTCAGTATCTTTCTCTGCCAGCTGTTCTGTAAGTTTTTCCTAAACAGGAAATAGAGAAAATGTTAAAGTAAACCTTGAAACATTATGAATCTAAGAATGTTTGGATAGTTTTATCATAAATAACACCATGAATACAATTGCAAACAAGGCATATAACAAAATGCATAGTCAAGTCTACATAAAATATTTACTTATAAAACAAAATACACAATGTATTTATATATATTAAATGATCATATTCTGTATTTATTGCTCTTTCACTCCATTTCAAAAACCAACTTATTGGTCACTAGTTTCAATAAACATATTTAGCTATTTCTACCAATATAGTCTTCTGGAAACTATTTAGTTGACTTTAAAAAAAAAATGACTGCAAATCTGCTTATAAGATAAAATATACACACTATGTCAGACTAGTTCAAAATGCAGAAAGTTTTAAAATGTAGTAGGGAAAACCCTACAAGCAGACAAAAGGAAGAGATTTATAAGATCTGTATCTAGATATTAAAAAGCAATTACGTATTTTCCCAACTTGCTAAATGGTCTTCAAAAAGTTAAAGGAAGAACATAAGTAAACTTCAAGATAAGCGCGGATTCAATTCCAGTTATATACCGAAAAGAACTGAAAGCAAGAACAAAAACAGAAACCTGTACACCAATGTTCATTGCAGCACTATTCACAATAGCTAAGATGTGGAAACAAATGTCCACCAACAGATAAACGGATAAACAAAATGTTGACTATATATACAATGGAATATTATTCAGCCATAAAAAGAAATGAAGTCCTAATACATGCTAAAACATGGACGACTCTTGAAAACATTATGCTGAGTGAAATATGTCAGTTACAAAAGGACAAATATTCTATGATTCCACTTATATGAAACAGGCAAATGCATAGAGACCAAAGCTTATTAGTGGTTACCAGGGGTAGGTGAGAAGAAGAAAAGAGGAGTCATTTCCTAGGGGGCACTGAGTTTCTGTTAATAGTGGTGGAATAATTTGGAAAAGGATAGTGGTAATGGTGGCACGACATGATGAACATAATCAATGTCACTGAACTGTACATGTAAAAATTGTTGAATTGGCAAATGTTTTGTTACATATATTTTTATGACAATTAAAAAAAAAAAAAAACCACTGATAGAATTAGAAAAAAAAAAACCAACAATAAACTGGGACAGAAAAATCATCTTACAGACAACCTGCCTTTAAAAAAACAAATATAAAACCACACACAACCATGTAGACAGTAGTAAGAATCCTACAGAAAAATTTAACAAACCAACAAAAGCAGGTGAAATGCATCAAAGATACAGTATAACTGTTACCAACCACTTCATTCTGTTGCTTTAAACAGCGTTCTCTGTCTTCAGCATATTTTTTCATCTCTTTGTTTCGTAGGTTTTCAGCTTCTTTTGCTTGGGTGATAAGGATCATTTTTTCTTCTAACCATTTTTTTCTATCAGCTTTATATTTCTGTTCAGATTCCTGTATGTATAAATGGAGCAAGTTACTATTACACGCCTAAAAAATTAAATCTATTTTTCCAACATTTCCATATAAGCCATAACATTTCACCTTCTTTAAAACTTAAAAATAAGTGTTTTTATTTAAATAAGATCAGAATTTATTTCAGTTTATAAAAAAGAAACATTAGATGGTTTGTTCTCCCAAACAGTATTTTCTTTATAGATTTAATTTGGCTAAAGTCCAGTTAAGGACTTTCCTTCATCAGTGAGCTTAAGAAATAAACTATTTAAATTTCGGAACGTTATAGTAACCCACATGCTCTAAATGTCAGGGGGAAAAAAAGACTTGGTTTGTGACAGTCATTTCTAAATGCATAGTTCTAAAAATAAAATATTCCTGGATATACTTGATGCCAAATGAGAATTTGTTCAATAGGAAAACATTTATTCATTTAAGAAATACTGCATTGGAAACAGCTGGAGCAAGAATATAGTTGATCATGATTTTCAGACTAGGTTCCATAGAGCCTTTGGGTTCAGAAGCATCTAATTTATATATTAAAAATCCAAGTAAAACTTTATATGGAAAAAAAATACTTTAAAAACATATATCACACAAAAATTTATATTTTTATAATATAAAAATATATATAAACACTTCTAAAACCACTGCACTAGATGAACTATGGCAGTTCATTCTAGGATTATAAAGCTTATAATCAAAGATGTGTGATTACATCATCTTAGAATATTAGAGAGTATACAAATATTTCTTCTCATGAACATTCTCAGTATGGTTAATGGTTAATGGTTAATGTCTTGGTTCTTGTTTCTTCATAATTAATGAAGCATTTACTTTCTTCTAGCCACTTTTGGATTTTCACAATGGAAAGAATGAATTCTAGAATATATAATAAACAGCAACAAAGGAAAGTAATAAATTTTTTTAATTTGTTTTCAGAATCTAGTTATATACAGTCTGAATTTAAGAAAATAGATGCTGCCAAATTTTCAAAACCATTATATTGATGTTTTCTTTGATCCCAAAACTACATTTATGTATGCAACTTTTAATAAAATGTATATAATTTTAAGTAGTATTGGAGAAATCTCATGAAAAAATATTTCCCCCATGCACTGCATTCTATACATAGTATGTTAGAGGTGAACACTGGAAAAAATATAAACACAAAATAGAATAACTTTTATATAGTAAGGCTTCATATGCATTCCAGTGTTTGGATATACAACTCTTATTATTTTCCAATTTAATAATTGAACTTTGGAAAGATTATTCATACTAATCAAAATAATTTTCCTGATAGTCTATCTTCTTGATAGCTGTATCTGACAAGTAGGAATTTTAAGGAGTAGAAAAATAGATACAAAGACATAAGAAATTGGTGATTTAAGAATTGAATATATAAAATTTAAAACTGAGGACCCATTTGCTGCATCTTCTTTGGCACGAAGTAGTTTGTATAAGAATTTCTTTCCCCATGTCATTTCAATGTGCACTGAAAAACTGTTTATCTATATTTTAACATTTCCCAGGTATTATTTTAAACATTTCTAATTAATTATAAAACACTTGCTGAATTCTCCTCTTATTATAAATATAATGAGTATATATATAATAATACCTGTAACTCATCTTGAAGCTTACTGAGCTTTTCACTAAGTATATCTGTGTTATCCACAAATTCTTTATTTGAACTTTGATTACTTCTGGTTTCCAGATCTTTGAATTTTTCCTTCCATTTTTCCAATTCTGATTTGAAAACATAAAATAAAATAATTTTTAAAAGTACATACAAAAGCCAGATCATGCAGAAATATATGTGACATGGACTATTGACAAGAATCAGCCGAGCCTAGAAAAAGCGGAACATAAACCAAGATAAAAGAGACTATTCCAACAGCTACACTTTTAAAAGTTCTTACCAAATTCTTAGTGAAGAGGAACTGCAAGAACCTCTCAGGACTCTGCTGAATAATGTTCAGAGTATACAGTATAAATTCATGTCAACGTTAATTCCATAAGAAAATTTACATAGTTCTCAAAAAAAAAAAAAAAAAAGCTATGCCCTATCCACAAAAGTGGCTACAAAGTATGAAGTGGCATGTACCTACCTACCACCATTATCATTTTACCCACAAAATAATGAGTTAGGGTTTGCAAAGTGCTGTTAAATTTATCATCTCTTCTGATTTCCAGAACAATAATGTGCAATAGTAATGTGATATTTTCATCATCAACTACATTTTATAGATCAAGAAAATTAAGCTGAGACAGCACAAGTGCCCTGCAAAGGCCATATATTAAATGGCAAAAGGCAATTTCCTAATTTTAAATGTCTTGCCCTTTCTACAAAAAAACACACATGGCTTTATTATTAGTAAGCAGGAATTACATCTTGCCACATCCTCTAGAAAAACTCTGATGCTATTCTGAAGGCAGTGGATCAGAGCACTTACTGAGGTACACATATGAGATGATGCTAAGAACTGGACAGAAATGAAACTCAGCTTCAACTTTACTTCTGTGCAACACTGCAAGTTTTTAGCCAGTTATTATTACAGTGTTCTGAATCCTTCTTTACTATGTACAACTTTACTTACATAAAATAATTTTCATCACAATGGAAAATGACAAGTGACAGGATTCCAAAAACACAACAAATACTTTCCATTATGAATTACTGTGAATACTATACTCCTTTTAAAAAGGAAAAAAAATCTAAGAAAAAAAAGAAAACAGTATGTTTTGAGATATTTAAGCACTCCTGTTTTACCTGTGGCCAATCTTTCCGTTTCCTCTAATTTAGCCTCAAGTACTTGATCTTGTTCTACCTGAGTTTGCTCTTGTTCTTCCAGTGTCATTCGCATATCTTCAATTATTTTCTCTTTAACATTTAGATCTAAAAATGTGGGGAGAACATTTTGGAAATTAATAACATGATATCCAATTTTTTTTGAGTCCTTCTGAAATTAAAATACATTTTTTATTAACTACAATAGAATGAGTTTCACATAGGCAGAAACTTTGTCTTGTTCACTGCTGTATCCTCAATGCCTAGAACAGTACTGGCATATATGAAGCACTGAATAAACTTTTGATGTACAGATGGATGTTTGGATGATTACAAGAAGGGACAGATGGATGGATGAAGGGAGGGAGGAGAGGAAAAGGGGGAGAAGGAATTTTTTCATATAGTGTTTTAAATTTTCAATATAATTAAAATGTTAATACAAATAAATAAAAATGTTGGGACTTAGAAAAATGTTATTTGGCAAAATGTCTACAGTATTTGACACAGTAACATTTTTTAACCATTCTAATAAACACTTATTTTTAGTATTAATATTCTTAAAGCAAAACTAAAACTACCTCCTTAAAAAAAAAGCTCAATCCCAATCTGACTTTTTTTTTTTAATCTGAAGTAATATATTTTTCTAGAAAATTTCTCAAAGCAAAGTATTCTATTTCTAGTGTTTTCAAAACCAGCTCCTTAGGAATGACAGTGCTACTAGCCTTATCAAAATTGTTTCTGGTCTTTAAAAAAGTAATGACTTGTAAGCAAGTCTATTTTAATCCCATGTGCAAGGAACAGATAGAAAAGAAAGATTACTTGAATGCCTCAGGTGATAGTAGGGCTATAATAGTATATAATATAATAGTAGGGCTCATTTCAGATACCTCTTATCAAAACTATACTGGTGTCACAGGTAATAAAGCTATACATGCATATCTCAATCTCAGGCCACTTTTAATGACAAAAATCCCAAAAATGGCACCTTCAAAGTGCACATAAAGGAAGCTTAAAACAAACAAAACAAGAAAAAATTATATGAGTAATTTTCAGAACTTCTGTCCACTGCTGTAAGCTGCCAGAAATGTTAGTAAATAGAATTTCTCCAAAAATAAAACAACACAAAAGAGTTCTACATATGATCTATCACAGCATAATAAACAACTGTCACATGAAAAAGCATTCAAGTGCTTAACTCTCAGGGGAGAGGACCACTGAGAGCTCTAATGGCCTTGGAAGGTTTCAAGGAGGAAAGGTTTAAGCATGACATTTGAAAATAGGTAGGAAGTGCAAATAAAGGATATCACACAAGCTAGAGACAGAAATCATATATAAAGTCATATGAAACACTGGGTTAGAAATACTTGCTTAGTGTTGGTTCCAATTTATTTCCGAATACCAGCGTTGATATATAAAACTAGTACAAAAGCTTGAAATCATGCTTCACTTATCATATTAGCAATATGTTTAAAGTTTGATAACACCTAGTATTGGCAAGATGGGGGGAAAACAGGCACTCTATACACTACTGCTGGGAATATAAACTGATATTGCCACTTTAGGAAATAGTTTAGCAGTATCTAGGAACTTTCTCTACAAATATATTTGCATGTGTGCGTAAAGTTTTTGTACAAAAATATTCATGGCAGTGTCTGTAGCAAAAAATAACATCTGTAAAAACAAAGAAAAATACTTTCATGAAATACTATGTAGCTTTTAAAAAGAATGAAGTTTAAAAAAAAGTGAAGATCTGTACATGATTATATGAAAAAAAATTTTTCTAAATTTTCAAATTATATAAAAACTCAAAACAAATGGGAAAAAAGATATAATACATTACACCTACACAATGATTCAATCTGTTTCAAAAAGACATACATGCTATATATATTCTGATTCAGGCATAAACATTGTCTGAAATGTTACTTAACAATGGATTATTTCTAGGAATAAAAAGTAAGGTGATCATGATGATAGGAGAATAAAACTTCATTTCATGCCTTCTATACTACTTAAAATTGGCATGTGTATGTATTTTTTAAAAATAAATTTAAATATACGAACTAATTAGATGACCTAAGAGAGATTTTACTGCTATGCTTATGATTAACATTAATAAATCTTCAAATGGGTATACAGACAGTTACTGGATTACAAATGAGTTCCGTTCCTAAGTCTGTCTTTAAGTTGAATTTGTACGTAACTCAGAACAGTTAGGTATGGTTCTTATCTAACGTCATTTAGTCAAATGTTTGTCTTGGTATACAGTACACAGTGTACCTTTTTATGCATAAAAAACATTAAAGATACAATTCCAAATACACTAAAACAGCTTTAACATTGTAATACAGTAACAACAATAACAATGTTTGATGCGAGTTGCAAAGTAGCACCATTTGTTATTATGAACTGTTGTATGTACCTCGAAAATGTTTATGTCTGAACCAGAATATGTATAGCATGTACATCTTTGGTTTGTAACCACAGGTAGTATGTAAGGCAGATGTTCATAACCCGAGGACTGCCCCTATTGTTTTAGTTACTGATTTCTCCTGGGGTCTTTTTCTTGAGCATAAACATTTCAAAGCCAACATGGTCTTTTATTTGTCTTTTTTATGATAGAAAAAGAGGCAAAATGGAACAGGGCAGGATTAGGAAACAAAACAAACTAGCTGGATAAAACAGAAAAATTGTACAAAATTAGACTAGAAAAAGGCAGGCTGGGATGCCAGGCTAGAGGGTAAGCTTATTATGAGGGCAAGGTGAAGTGACTGAAAACATTTAATATAAAAATGATCCAATGAAATGAGAAAAATTAAATCTAGCTGTGTGACTATATGACAGAGTGAGTGTAGAAACAATGATGTCCAGAAATCAGTGAAACAGCAGTATTCCAGGTTTGACTTAAGACCTATAATAGGACAGAACAAACATAAGGAGCCACTGGGAGAAGAAAGTAACATAATTAAGGTACTGGATCTAAGGGTGAAAATAAAAGATGAAAGATTATTTAAAGTCTAAACCAGGGGTGGACAAATGTTTTCTGTAAAGAGCCAACAGTAAATATTTTAACGTCAGTTGAAACCATTCAACTCTGCTGTTGGAGCATGAAAGCAGCCACAGACAATACAAAAAACTCAATGTATGTGGCTATATTCCAATGCAACTTTATTTACATAAATAGGCAGTGATCTGGATTTGGTTTGTGGGTTGTCATTAGCTAACCCCTGGCCTAAACAACAGAAACAGTAGAGATCAGTCACAGAAACAGAGGGCTCAGAAGGTTAAGACAGTTTTGGCAGAAAAAGATACTCAAGTTAAGAAGTTAATAAGCCTCTAAAACCAAACATATCACAAGAAAATAAAACTACAAGCCAACATTCCTTATAAATTTAGCCGTAAAAATCCTCAATACAATACTAGCAAACTGAATTCAGCAACATGTAAAAAGCGTTATACACCATGACCCACTGGAATTCATCCCAGCAACGGAAGGTTGGCTAAACATAGGAAAACCAATCAATGTAATATACCATATTAACAAAATAAAAGACAAAAACCACATGATCATCTCAACAGATGAAGACAAAGCATTTGACAAAATTCCATACTTTTTCATGATAAAAACACTTAACAAACTAGGAATAGAAGGGAACTCTCTCAACCTTGTAAAAGGCACCCACAAAAAACCCACACCTAACATTATACTATGGTAAGAGAATGAAAATTTTCACCACTACTATTCAACATTGTTTGAAGGTTCTAGTCAGAGCAATAATGTAAGAAAAAGAAAATAAAAGGCATGCAGATAGGAAAGGAAAAAATAAAACTATCTCTATTTACAGATGACATGATCTTGTATATAGAAAATTCTATCAAATACACAGACAGAGAAAGTATTAAAGCTCATAAACAAGTTCAGCAATGTTGCAGGATAAAATATCAATATAATAATTTCAATCGTATTTCTATACACTAGCAATGAAAAATCCAAAAATGGTATTAAGAAAACAATTCCATTTACAATAGCATCAGAAAGAATAAAATATTTAGAAATAAACTGAACGAAAGATGTATGTATATAACTTGTGCACTGAAAACTAAAAAAAATCATTGAAAGAAATAACACCGCAATAAATGGGAAGACATCTCCTGTTCACGATTAATATTGTTAAGATAGCAACATTTCCCAAATGGATCAACAGATTTAACACAATTCCTGTTAAATAAAATCCCAGCCAGCTTTTTGGTAGAAACTGACAAACTGATCCTAAAATGTATGTAGAAGTGCAAAGGACCCAGAATAACCAAAACAATGTTAAAAAAGAACAAAAGTGGTAGGACTCACACTTTGCAATTTCAAAACTTCCTTAAAAGCTACAGTAATCAAGACAGTGTGGTACTAGCATAAGGATGGACATGCAGATCAATGGAACAGAATTTAGAGTGCAAAAATAAACCCTTACATTTAAGGTCAATTGATTTTCAACAAGGGGGCAGAGACAATTGAATAGAGAACAAGTAATTTTTCAACAAATGGTGCTGTGACAATCAAATATTCACATACAAAAGAATGAAGTTGGACACTTATCTCACATAATGTACAAAAATGAACTCAAAATGGATCAAAGACCTAAATTTAAGAAAAAAAACTATAAAATTCTTAGAAGAAGACATAGGTGACTTTGCATTAGGCAACGGTTTCTTAGATATGACACCTAAAGGACAAGCAATTAAAAAAATAAACTGGAGTTCATTAAAATTAAAAACTTTGATGCATCAAAGGATACTATCAAGGAAGTGAGAAGAAACCCCACAGAATGGGAGAAAACATTTGTAGATCATTTACCTGATAAGGGTCTAGTATCCAGAACATATAAAGAACTCTTACAACTCCATAACAAAAAGACAAAAATAACCCATTTAAAAAACGGGCAAAGGATCTTGTTATGGATTGAATTATGTCCCCCCAAAATATGTGTTGTAAATCCTAACCTCTATGCCTGTGGTTATAATCCCATTTGGGAACAGGTTGTCTTTGTTATGTTAACGAGGTAGGATTAATGTACGGTGTATCTCCAGTCAATCTCTTTTGAGATATAAAAGAGATTAAACAAGCAAGCAAAAGCGATGGGGGAAGAGAGAGGCCAAGCCACATGAAGACTGCCCAGGAGCGGAAGCTCAAAAGCGACAAGGACCTTTCCTCCAGAGCCGAGAGAGAAAGTCTTCCCCTAAAGCCAGTACTCTGAATTCAGACTTCTAGCCTCCTAACTGTGAGAAAATAAAGTTTTGTTTGTTAAAGCCACCTACCTGTGGTATTTGTTACAGCAGCACTAGATAACTAAGACAGACCTGAATGGACATTTAAAGACATACTAAAGACCAATAAGTAGATGAAAAGATGCTCAACATCATTAATCAAAACCATGAGATGTAACTTCATACTCACTAGGATGGTGTACCAGATTGAATAGCATCCCACAAAAATTGATGTCCACCCAGAACCTGTGAATGTGACCTTATCTGGAAATAGGACTTTCATAGATATAATCAAGTTAGGAATGAGCTCATAGTAGATTAGGTTGGGCCTTAAATCTAAGATGATGGGTGACCTCATAAGAAGAAAATTTGGAAAGAGACACATATGAAAAAGACACAGACACACAGAGAGAGAAGATGGAGGCAGAGATTGGAATTATGCATCTCTCAGCCCAAGGAATGCCAAGGATTTCCAGCAACCACCAGAAGCAAGAAGCAATGATGCCTTGATTTCAAACCTCTAGTATCCAGGACTGTGAGAGAATACATTTCTGTTGTTTAAAGCCACTCAGTTCGTGGTACTTTGCTACAGCAGCTTTGGAAACTAATAAGTTAGATAGCTATACTATAAATAGGTAAATAAAAACAAGTGTTGGTGACAATGTAGAGAAATTAGAACCCTCACACATTGCTGCTGGGAATGTAAAATGGGGCAGCCACTGTGGAAAACAGTTTGGTACTTGCAAAAACGTTAAACATAGTTACCATAAACCAAAAACCAAACTCATTGTCATTGAGTCGATTCTGATTCATGGCAACTCTGTATGTGTCAAAGTAGAACTGCACCCCGTAGGGTTTTCAATGGCTGTAATCTTACAGAAGTAGACCAGGCCCTTCTTCCTTGGTGCCACTGGTGAATTCAAACTGCCAACTTTTTGGTTAGTAGCTGAGCGCAAACTATTTGTGCCAGCCAGGAACATGGATTTACCATATGACCCAGCAATTCTACTCCTAGGGATCTATCCTCCCAAAAATAAAAACGTATGTTCATATAAAAACTTATAGATGAATGTTTATGAAAGCCAAAAAGTAGAAACAACCCAAATGTCCATCAACTGAGCAAAGATAAACAAAATATGGAATATTAATATAATGGAATATTATTCAGCCATAAAAAGGAATGAAGAACTAATACATGCTATAATTGAAACCATTATCCTAAGGGAAAGGAGTCGGACACAAAATCCATATATTATGTAAGCCCACTTACATGAAATGTCCACAATAGGCAAATCAATAGACAGAGAGTAGATTTTAGGGGTTGCCAGGGGCTGGGGGAATGGGGTACAGGGTTTCTGTATAGGGTAATGAAAATGTTCTGGAATTAAAGAGTGGTGATTGCTATACAACCTTGTGAATATACTAAGCACCACTAAACTGTACACTTTTAAAAGGGGAATTTTATGGTATGTAAATTATACCTCAGTTTAAAAAAAGAATTTAATAAGACAGCTAAGTAAAAGGTATTCAGTATTTAATAGAAATTCAGAAGCCAGGGAAAACTTTAAAGGCTGAAGATGTAGTTTTTTTTTTGTTTGTTTGTTTGTTGGGAAATGTTTCACATGTTGAAATCATGGGAGTGAATGAACTCTCTAGGCAGAAAATGAAGAGAAAAAACAAGATTGACACCTTAATCATAAAAGCTGCCAAAGTAGCTGAGGCTCATTCTGAGAGAAAGGAGGTAACTAGTACAGAATAGATTACAAAAGCCAAAGCAAGAGAGTTTCAAAATGGGGGAAGCTATATATTACTTTTATATTTAGGAAAAATATACTCACACACAATAAATAGAACTTAAATAATGAAAATGAAGACAAGACAGAGTGGACAATAATGTTAAAATAATATAAAAAGTAAAATAAAGTAGAGAAGGCAAAAAGCTAATAGATTTGAAGATATGCAGGTTATAAGTGATGTGGGAGTAACTTTCAAGAGCACAGAGAAGATGGAAGTCAGATTAAAGTACTGTATTTTTATGCAAATAATGCATGTCTTCTACGTTAGTTTGCCAATCTCGCCCGGATCTGAGGTACTTTGTTAAGCATGCTATGCCAAATTTTTTTTACAGTAAAATGTTAAAAAAAATAGGCATAGCAGCACTTATAAAAATATCTGGCAGGGGGAGGGCGTGGTTGGCAAACAAACTTAGAAGGCATGTGTTATTTGCATAAAAATACGATAGCTGCAGTGGGCCTATGCCCAACTTCCAATATTTGGCCAAGAAAGATTAAAATATGATAAAAGTTATACAGCATCCTGGTTCAAGGGAAAGTTTTTCAGAATAGCTAAGATTTGTCCACATTTGCCAACACTGATACAGGAGCCAAAACCAAAAAACCAAACCTGCTGCCGTCAAGTTGATTCCGACTCATAGAGACCCTATAGGCCAGAGTAGAACTGCCCCATAGGGTTTCCAAGGAGTGCCTGGTGGATTCGAACTGCCAACCTTTTGGTTAGCAGCCATAGCTCTTAACCACTACGCTGCCAGGGTTTCCATAAAGAGCCAAAGGAAAGGAATTATTTAAAAGGGTTATGGTAATAGGGAGTAATGAGGGACAAAGGCCTAGCTAGGAAAGGCAGGAGGAAACAGGACTGAATTCAGAAATATGTTCTCACATCCATTTATTAAAGAGTAAATATTAATCCAAGTCAACCCTACAAATGTCAAATCATATACATAAGTAATAATCTGGTTCTCTTACCCTTTGTCTTTGTTGGTCAAGTAGAAATAGCATAGATTAGTAAAGAGAGTCTGGAACTTAAGTGTGAAGCAGATCTGGGTTCAAATCCCAGCTCTATTACTCACACAACTGAGAAATTATGGGGTGAATGATGGGAAGGAGAGGAATCTGCATCGTTTTAAGAATAGAAATATGTATATATCATACATAAAGGTAATTTTTGTAATATTTCAAATGGAGAATCAATACAATTTGAGTAAGAAAGGCATATTTCACCTTCTAGGATTTGAATCTAAAGTATTAGTTTTTTAAAAATATATATTTTAAATTTAAAGATCTTTTGCCTGAAGTATATTCTTTACGTGATGGCTATTGTATAGAAATCTACTGCATTCATTGTGACTTATATGACTTTGACTGATTTTATTTTTCACAACTGGCCACTACCAAGAAATCAATGTGCTTTGACTGAATATTTTTCATTGTTTTGTTTTTCCAAGAATAAACTTTAAGTTGATAAATTACTCATTAGAATCATGCTTTTCACTTTTGATAAAGTTAGATCTTATGTTGCACCCACTTTAAAAATTTCAAAAGAAAATGTTAAATCAATTGTTATTACAACTACCTATTTGCAGTTATTTTAGTATTGAAAGTTTAAGTTTGTCCTGACCTTTGCAAACTTTCTCATACTGTTGTATAGCTTCTTCCATTTTATGATTATTTAACTGCTCCTACAAATGAAAGAATATGCATTAAATGCAAATGTAACATAAAACACACAGCAATATTTAATAGTGGGACTTGAAAACAGAGCACAATGGGTGTCAGATGTTTGGACAGGGGCACAGTTTCAGTCCTTGCATAGGTGCAATTTCTGAAGATACACCTCTGCGTGGGGTTGCCATGAGTCAAAATCAACTCAACCGCAAGTAGTTTGTTTTTTCTGTTTACTATGTATTTAATGCAGGAGGAACAAAGAAAATCATGAAAAAAAATTCCCTATCAGTAAACCCAAAACGCAGAAAAACAGGGTCCCTCAAACCTCTCTAAGTGGAAAGTAGCTGGGAGACTTGAAAAAAAGTAACAGAACCTTTAAGAGGCCAACATTAAATTATGGGGACTGGATATCCTCTAATTCTAGTTTCAATCTGTCAGATAATCTACCCTCCATTCCCAATCCCATCTAATTTAACACTATCTCCTCACTTTCTAAGTCTCTGAATCCTGTAATGAAAGTGTAGATTGTCTCGTTATGATTATATTCAGTCAAAAATAAAGGTGAAAATGATTATGTTTTTATACCTGTATATTTATTAGCTTGATTCATTTAAAAGCAAAAATGGAAAGAATACAGGTAGTACCCGATTTACGATGAAGTTCTGTTCCGACAAGTCCATCGTAAGTTGGTTCTGACCAAAGTCAAATACCTTATTTTTTTTAGTTTTCATTATTATTGCCTTTTATAACAGCATCTTTATAAATTCAATATTTATTTGTCTTTGGAGGTTGGAAATATTACACATAAACTTACAGATAAATTTTAATACATACATACATACATTAAAAAAATACACATGCCCATAAAAAAATGGACAATTCGGCATTTTCTTCAGTTGTGGTAATAATTCCACTTGTGGAAGGTTCTAGATCACCTGGATTATCCCTGGGAATGGGGATGGTGTTTCTAGTCAGAAGATTAGTGAGAGTCATCTGTTTGCTCCTTTTATGCACTGCAACATTGGATGTAGTACATACTACTAACAAAAAGATGCACAAAAGTCAGGGACTACCTGGACAACAAATTCATATTTTTTTCACCTTACTCATTTAATCAAAGGCAAGCAAAATATTACCATTTAAAATAAAGAGATTTTGCTTTATAAGAATCATTTTAAAAAAGAATTTTTATAAGAACTGGAATTTATTTTTTTTACTTTTTATTTTGAAATAATTTTAGGTTTACAGACGAGCTGCCAAGATAGCAGAGATTTCCTGTAAAATCTCCATTAGGCTTCTCCTAATGTTAACATCTTACATAACCAGGTACATTTATTAAAAAATGAAGAAATTAACATTGGTACAAAACCATTAACTACACTACGGACTTTATTTGGATTTCACCAGCTTTTCCACTGATGTCTTGTCTCTGTTCCAGGATACTATCCAAGATACTACACTACATTTAGTCATCAAGTCTCCTTCCAAAACCAAAGGACAAGTCGATTCCAACTCATAGTGACCCTACAGGACAGAGGAGAACTGCCACATAGGGTTTCCAAGGCTGTAAATCTTTAAGGAAGCAGGCTGCCACATCTTTCTCCCATGGAGCAGCTGATGGGTTCGAACTGCCAACATTTCAGTTCACAGCTGAGCACTTTAACCACTGTGCCACCAGGGCTCCTTCGTGTCTCCTTAGTCTCTTCCAATCTGTGATAGTTCCTCAGTCTTTCCTTGTCTTTAAAGATCTTGACACTTTTGAAGAGTACTGGTCAAATATTTTGTTGTACATCTTCAATTTGAGTTTAATGTTTTCTCACAATTAAACTGAGGGTATGGATTTTGGGGAAGAACAGCACAGAGAAGATTTGCCCTATCAATATGACTTATTACTTGTGACATTATTCTTGAACACTTGGTTACGGCAGTGTCTACCAGGTTTCTCCAATGTAAAGTTACTATTTTTTCCTTTCCATGCTCCATTTGTTAGAAGCAGGTCACTATGGACTTCTTTAATTTTAAGCAATTTATTTTTAGATTCCAGAAAAGTTCAAAACAAAATTTCATATAAAGAACTAACTTAATACCTTTAATTTCAAAAACCAAACCCCTTGCTATCGATTCTGACTCATAGTAACCCTACAGGATAGAGTAGAACTGCCCCACAGGGTTTGCAACGCTTTATGGAAACAGACTACCACATCTTTCTCTTATGAAGCAGCTGGGTGGGTTCAAACCACTGACCTTTCAGTTAGCAGCCAAGCGCCACTGCACCACCAGGGCTCCTCATACATTTAATTAGACACTAAAATATACCAAAGGAATTTACTTAAACCATCTTTAAAAACAAAACCATTACCTTGAGTTGTTGAATAGTTCGCTGTTTCATATCTATTTCCTGAGAACACTGGTTTTTCTTTTTCTCCAGTTCATTAATTTTAATCCTCAGTAATTTTTCCTCATCACGCATGACACAGACCTACAAAGTAATGTTAATAAAACAAAGGAAATGTTTTTAAAGAAAAAAATACTAATTGCTTTTTGTTGTTTAAAATACATGGACACTTCTTCAAAGATTCATGTACTTTTAATGCCCATTAGAAAAATTAGGCATTCTATATACCACATGAGACAGTTTCAAATTATAAGAAAATGTCTTAGTATTCTAGTGGAGAACACATATGAACAGATCATTTTCTTCTTACATTAAGAATCTCAGATTCTAGAAGTGCTCTCAAAAAAGAATCAATATAACACCTGCATATAATAGCAAAATCTTTATCATGGGAAATCAATTGTAATACTCTTGGGAAAAAAACTGGCTCAAATTTCCAAGGTTTATTGAATAATATGATCCAGTAATACAAGAAATACTTCAAAAGCTATTATCTGTTCTCAACATTTTAAGAAAAGAAGTTGACAAATGACCTGTTAGAATTTAATATGGAGGAAAACCATCTTCACCCTATTAAATTTACCACACAACTTTTCAAATAACCTACCTCTTTCTGTACTTGCTCAATCTGCTTTTTGGCATCAGCCAGTTTCTCTTTCAGCTCAGCATAATCATCTTCTTTCCTCTGAAGATCCGCTTTCAGATTCTGGGTAAGAGCTGAGCTTGCAGATAGCTCCTCTTTCAATCTAAAAAATACAAATCATATTCTATAATGATGCACCATTAACCAGCTAGGATCATACATGTAATCTGATAATAATCTTTACAAAACTACATCTTTTCTCAAATTTGCAATGTCCAAACCATGAATGAGTGAGTCCTTCAGAGAGGATTTCACATGATTTTGTGAGCAAAATCTTTGCAGAGAATTTACGAATTCAGAGATTTATATGAAACAAAGTACAAACTCCTCACTCACTGTGCACGCTATACTTCACCAGGTTAAGTTATGCCCATTTCACTGTTCAAAAGTGACATAGTAAGAACGTAACCCATGTCACTGAACTGTACATGTAGAAATGGTATATCATTGGATGTGTATACTTTCACCAAAACAAACCAAAAAAAAAGACATAGTAAAATGTATGTTTTACATATTTCAATAACATTTCGCTTACTTTTCCGTTTCTTGTCTGTTGGTTTCGTTTTCTTCTTCCTTTAGTTGAAGTGAGTGCTTCACATCTTGCAAATTATTTGTTAATTGTGTGATTTCTTCTTTCAGTTTGACTTCTCTTTCACTTAAATCTTTGGTGTTTTTGATAGAATCCTGAAGACTTGCTTGAAATTCCTCTAGATTTCTTTCCAGCTTAAGGATGACAGACTCCTTTTCTAAAATTTCTTGTTCTAACTTGGCTGAACAACTGTATTTGTCTTTCTGTGCCTCGAAAATTGTTTCCAGTTCCTGTATTTTCGCCTTGTAACAAATAACATCTTGTGTAAGCTCTGAAAGTGCTCTCTTTCCTTCAACTACATGCTGTACTTCAACACTAAGACTAATGGTTTTTTCTTGCAGTTCTTCTTTCAGCTGTTGTACAAGACTTTCTTTTTCTTTTAGTAGGTCATCTTGATTCTTATTCTCCCTCTCTTCTGTCTTTAGTCTGTCATTTTCATCTTTATAGCCTTTCACTTCTACCTGTAATTTTTCAACTTCTTGTTCCAGTTCCAGGATATGATGACTTTTTTGGGAGGAGACCTTCACAATTTCCTTACATTCTTCCCAAATGGCTTCAATACTAGAGTGGAAAGAACTTTCTCGACTGAGTTCTTGAATACAAGATTCTTTAATCTGCTTACTTACCAAATAATCATCACCTAGAAGGTGTAACTGCGTATTCAGCAAATTATCCTCCTGAGAACAATTTGACAGATCCCTGAGACTAAGTAAATCTATGTCTGAGATCTGAGAACCTGAATCAAGCATATGTAGTTCATCTATTTTTGTCTGCATTAATTTTATTTTTGAAACATTATTTGTGATGTTTTTTCTAGTAGTTTCTATCTCCTCTGACAGTTTCATAATCTTTTCTTCCTGTTCTTGATTTATATCTTTCTGCACTTGTAATTCAGAAATTGCATTTTCATATTTTGATTGAATTTGTTGGACCTCTATACTTAAATTAAAAATCTTTTTTTCAGAAGAAGAAAGTTCCTCCCGCAAACTAACAATCTGTTTATTTAATTCTGCTTTTTCTTCTTTTTCATTTATAAATTCATTCTCAACAATGAGTAAATGTGTTTTCAACTCTTCATTGTTTTTTTTTAAAACTCTAATGTCTTCCTTTTCTTTGGAAATGCTTTGCTGCATATCTTCACTTTTCTTGCGGTATTCAGAGATAGAACTGCTAATATATATAGGTCCTTTAAAAATAAGAAAATTGTTATTAATTTGGCAAATCTCAATGACACTAAAAAAATTACCATATGAGTCAATAGTCAAACATATAAAATGGGAAACTTAGCGAAAAACAGAAATATGTTGTTGAAGGAAAAAGAAAAAAATAAGCTGCAAAGCATATGTGGTATAAGACCATTATGTAAAAATTATAGTTCCATAAATTAATATTTAATATGCAAAGAGAGTTAGCAAAGGAAGTACACTATCTCTGAGTAGTATCCAGTTATTTCTCCTCTTTACAACTTTTAGTATTAATTTAAATTTTCTATGAAAAATTCTTATTATCATAATATGGGACAAAGAGGAGGAGATCACATAATGAAACACCATAGGCAAACATCTCATATCCTAAAGAACAGTTTTTAAAGTCCAATTATATTATGGATTCTATTAGATTAGTGATTTGCAAACTGATTACCTAAATTTACATAGCTAAAATTAAGAAAAAATTGTTAAAGGAGGGACAAGATAGCAAAGTGAGTAGACACTCCCATTTACTTCCCGAGCAACCAACTCACTGAACAACGAATAAAAACAAGTACAAACTGAGATCTCACAACTCTGGACAACAGCTGAAGTACTGGAGAGTCAGGGTTAGTCCAGAAGCAGAGGAGAGGAGGAAAGCGGTAGGCTCGGAAGCACTCACTCATCACAGCCATTTTGGGATGGGGCTGGCTAACAAACACAGAACACAGAAAAGGAGCTAATCTGAAGAATCTCTAGCCCGATTTTTTTTTTTTAAGGCGGCACTGATCGGTTGTGGAAGTCTGCTGGCTGCACAATTGGGAGGGGGCAAAGGGAGATGGTGGCGTTGCGTGAAAGTCCTGCTGAATATCACTGAGGTCCCATTTAGTTGGGCACTAGGACCCAGAGGTACTGCAAGAGGAATAGTTCAGACTGACAAGGACAAAGGAAATGGCCAAAGTGGGCCACTGTGGGAGTGTCTGTGCAGGGACACCCGTGAGGGAAAGACAGAGAGCCCCTCACTGTCATCACAGTAAAGTCGAGCCCCATTGCTTATGGCAGAGTCTCGGAACAAATAACTCTCCATCTCAGGCATGCGTATTGAATTCCAGAAACCAAGTATACAGAACTCCTGAAACATCACTGAAGGAAAAAAAACTAAGAATGAGAGCGCCACCTAGTGGTTCTCAGGATAAGACACCAAGCCCACTGCTACTGGGTCATTTTGACTCATCGCAAACCTGCAGGGCTGAGGGAAGCTGCACCCCTTAGGGTTCCCAGAGTTGTTAGTCTTTGAGGAGGCAGTCTGTCACATCTTTCTCCTGTAAAGTAGCTGGCAGGTATGGACCCCAGCCCTTGAGGTGGTGGTCGGGCACTTGGCAGCTGTGCCACTGAGGTGTCCAGTCAGAAAACTTACCCACAATAAACAGAATAAAAAATGTGAAGCAAAATTATTAAAAAAATAATGAAATGGCCCAAATTCACCAAAAGTTAGTAAAACACAAGAAATCACAAGAAAAGACAAAGAATCAAAAGCAAAATATGAAGAAGAGGAAATCTCTCCTGTGGAAGCCAGAATAATGCAAAGAATTAATAATTTTCAGACTATGGTGCTAAATATGTTTAAAGACAGCGAAAAGGACACAGAAAACAAACTAGTGGAGTTCAGGAAACAAGTGGAGAAGCAAAATGAAAAATTAACAAAGAAATTGAAAACATAATAAAAAACAAAAACAAAGAGAACTACTAGAACTGAAGAATAAAACATGTGAATTAGAAAAAGCAAGAGAAACACTCAATAGAGTTGAGCAGACAGAAGATAGAATAAGTGAACAAGAAGACAAAATAACTGAACTTACCAAGTCTCAAAAGAAAAGAACAAATCCAAAAGGAAATGTGGGATTCAATTAAGAAATTTAACATTAGAATTATTGGAATCCCAGAGCACCATAACAATAAAGCCACAGAAACAATTTTCCAAGAGAGAATCAGAGAGAATTTCCCAGAACTGAACAGACAACTAGACAAGCAAACACAGGAAGCTACACAAACCCCAATCAAAAGAGATACAAAAAGATCAACTCTGTGACATATCGTAATAAAATTCTTGAAAACCAAAGAAAAGGAGAGAATCCTGAAAGCAGCAAGGAAAAGAATGCAATATAACATACCAAAGGTCTTCCATAAGAATCGATGCAGATTTCTCCCCAGAAACTCTAGAGGCCAGAAGACAATGGAGCAACATATATAAAATAATGGACCAAAACAAATGCCAACCAAGAATTATTTACCTAACAAAGCTGTTACTCAAAAGCAAGGGGGAAATCAAGACATTCCCAAAGAAACAGAAGCTCTGGGAATTTGCCACTACCAGACCAGCTTTGCAATTATTACTCAAGGAAGTACTCCAAATGGAAAGGCAAAAGCATTAAGAAATAAATACAAACTTATCAAATATGGGTTGTATACTGATATTAATGGAGACACACCAACAGAAAGGGGGAGGGAGGAGCTTATCAGGAATAGATTTATTTATGTTAAGGTTGTATGTTAACTGTTGTTCATATGTTAAATGTTGTTGTAATTGTAAGTTGTATAATATATGTGGTAACCACTAAGAAATAACCAAGAATAAACACTCAGAAGACAAGAAGGAAGATAAAAAAAAGGCTCATTGCAAGAAAGCACCCAAATACAAACAAAAACAGAAGTCAGGAAAAAAAGAAGACATGAATCTCTCAAAAAAAAAAAAAAAAAAAATAGCAAAATGTGTGAGATGGACACTTCATTTTCAGTAATAATCTTAAATGTATATGGTCAAAAGGACCCATGCAAAAGGCAGAGAATGGCAGAATGGATAAAAAACACATGATCCACACTTTTGCTGTTTACAAGAAACACATCTTAGACAAAAGAACACAAACAGGCTGAAAATAAAAGGATGGAGAAAAAAATTGCATGCAACCAGTAAACAAAAAAGAGCAGGGGTGGCCATACTGATACTACATAAAGCAGACTTTAAATCAAAATCTATTACAAGACCTAAAGAAGGACATTACATAATAATAAAAGGGTCAATCCAGCAAGAAGACATAACAACTGTAAATATATATACACCTAACAGCAATGCACCAAAATACATGAAACAAATACTGACCAATATGAAAGGAGAAATACCCAACTCTGCAATAATAGAAAGACCTGGTGATTTGCTTCTGTAAAGATAATAGCCAAGAAAACCCTATGGGACAGTTCTAGTCTGCCACACGGATTTGCTATGAGTCAGAACTGAATGAACAACATACTTTTTATTATATAAGGGACTTTTAAGCATAAGAAATTTGATTCTTACCCACTTAATGAGGATACCAAATAAAAATATAGGTGAAATCTACAGGTCTTTCTCCCATGGAGCCACTGGGTGGGCTTGAACCACCAACCTTACAGTTAACAATTGAGTGCTTATAAAGTATAAGGGGGGTACTAATCCATAAAAGTAGAAAACAGTTATAACAGAGGCCTGGCTCAAAATCTTCCTCTTTAAGAAATCTCTTAGTTCAGTTGGTAGTGTCTCATGAATTTAAAAAGGGTCTGTTTTAGAGGGTTTTTTTAACTAAGCCCTACCCCTATCCTCTGCATTTTAGCACTTTGAAATTATATTAAAATATATTTTGTTCATCTACTAGATTCCAGACTTCCTGATGGCCAACTCCCTGTGTCTTATTCATCTTTATATACCCTGAACAATAAATCTAAATAAAATATTTTTAAAATTTAGCTACACCACATATGATCTCCTTTTCCACCTCTAAGACACATCACTGCACCAGAAAACAAATACTTCCTTAATTTTTACCTTCGGAAACCTTTTCTAGTTCTAGATATGTACAAATTCTTAATGTGATATGCACCAGCTATACTAACTTGGTAACTTTAGTGTTACTTCGTGTTTAAAAATTTAAGGTCCTCTCTTCTATAACATCTTTTTACAACAGTGATTCCCAAGTATTATTGGGCAGAAAAATCACTCAAGGACCTTATTAAAACACAGATTCCTGGGACCCATTCAACAACATTGACTTGGTAAGTCTGAGGTGGCTTGTACAAACAACATTTTGAGAATTACTGCACTAGGCAATTATTTTTGAAAGTTTCTGGGAGAAGTTGACAGTTACCTTTGTAACCACTTTTGGGATCTAAACTTACTGGTCTTCATTACAAAGCCTTTATCAGGTGGCCCCACTACATATAATCATTCTATAAAATTCAAATGTCAAATCTCAGGTAAGTATGAGATTCGAATCTTTGATAGGCTCTTGTGCATCCTAGTTGAGAGATGATAGTAACCCATGAAATGCATATGCAATGAATCTGTTCTATGAAGAAGCTACCATTTTTGAGATCATAAAAAGCTCTTTAAACTTTATAGAAATCTATCATCCTGTATACAAAAAAGTTTCAACCTTCCTATATACTAATCTCTGTTCAAGTTGCAAGCAAAGTAAAGGAAAAGCATAAGCATTCATGAAAGGCCTTTCAGGTACAATTATATAATGTGGGAAAAAAACATGAAGTGATTATTTGCTCTCAAGAGTTTTAATCCTATGATCCCTTTTGATAAATTTATACCCCAGCCCACACAAGATGATCTGTACCCAGTGAGTGTATGCCCCCTCAGAAGAATCACTGTATAACCTGAGAATCTCATCTTCCCACTCCATCCAGTTATTTATCCAATTTTACCTTCTAGTAGTGAATATGCAAAAATAAGCTTTGTTTATAAAATTTTATTTTCCAAATACAATCCACATCTTTTACTTTACCCAACTGTCTAAATGGTCTTGGGCAGCTGTAATTGCATAATTCCGACTATGCGATCCTAAGACTCTCTTTTCTTTTAATATAGTCTAATTTTAAAGGCTCATTGTAAAAGGCTTTCTTATCTATAATTTATATTTTCCTCTCCAGTCTCAAAGACGAGGGGGAAAACATGGTGTTAACTTCTGCAGTATGGGGCCCTGGTGGCACAATGGCTCAACCTCTAACCAAAAGGTCAGCAGTTCGAATCCACCAGCTGCTTCTTGGAAACCCTATGAGGCAGTTCTACTCTGTCCTAAAGGGTCACTATGAGTCGGAATCAGCCCGACAGCAACGGGTTTCTGCTGCATAGCCTCACATTCTCAAAAGCTGCTGAGTTTATTTTTGAAGCTTTTCATATGTTAGCAGTAACATTTTCCTAACTTATTTCCTCAAGATTCTCAGTTTGTTGTAAGGATTCTAGCTATTCTGGAATCTTTAAATTAAAAACATTTGCCCCTCTTTACTTTTACAACAAATTTGACCACCTATTCTTAGCGATTTTTTTAAATAATTTTCAACCTATATATTATTTTTCATCAGATACATAGGTTGTCTCCTAGCATCTTACCAAAGTTGTAGCTAGTCATCCCAATCTATTCACTGGTTCAGACATCTACTTTTCTTTCAACAAAGTTTCTATTTATGATTCTATTTCCATACAGAAGATTTAATCAGTGGAAAAGACTATTTGAGAAAAAACTAAATATGATGATGATAATAGTGTTGGATTTTTTTCATCACTTAAAAATGTTCAAAAATATCCTCTTCCTTTTTAAAAAGACAAGTTGTAAATGTGTATGAACCCTTTCTGGGAGACGGGGATGGATCTGATCAAGTTAAAAGTGACAACAGAGACTGCAAAAAGCCTCTGGGTATCTTGAGGTTTGGGCTCAAAATTTTTATTGAGCTTTCTGTATTCAATTCTTAGATTACTGTATCCACATAGTATGCATAACTTCTGTGATCAAGTAAGGTTGTTCTCTTAATTTTATTTTAAGGGCTAGTATTATCATAATATATAATGCAAATCAGGTAATTTGTTTTTCCACCTGCTTTCCTTTTTAGATATTCATACTGTTCTTTCATAAGTTTTAAAATGTTTTACTTCAAAGATCTATAGAACATATTCAGGACAGCCTTGTCAGGGACAAATTAAAGTACTAGCCCAGCAATAAAAATGGGAAACAGATTTTCTCCATATCTAGAGTAAGGTTAACTTGTAAAAGGTAAACATAAACAGTTAAAAGGGAATGCAGTTAACACTTTAATTGGATATTTACACTACTTTCAACCTTTACTTCTACTGAATACATATTATGTCATAAAGAATTACAGTTTTGATTGAAAAATCAGAGGTATGCAGATTGTTTTATATCTCCATCGCTTATTTCTAGGACAGTTTACATGGTGACAGCTTCCCCAAAGTGACCTCAAACAAATTCACTTTCATGAGGGAAAAACCCTGTATTCCTTTTTAATATGAGAAAACATGGATTCTATGTAAATACCAGCCCCTTGACCCTATCCTAACAGTTATAGAAGTCAAACTTTGTTCCAGAGATTTTGAAGCAGTGGGTTAGAGGGAAAGAAGGGTAGTTTTCATTTGATACCTTACATAATCCCTATGGCATGGGGTCGCCATGAGTCAGGGGCCAACATGACGGCAGCTAACAACAACATAATCTCATAACATGAATAGTCGAGAATTAGCCATTTAAAGTGATTGTGAATTTAAGTAAGAAAAAACATACTTTGTTATGTTACCTAAACTGCCTTTAACCCACTCAGACTCAAATTACTTATAGCTAAAAACTATAGTTCTTACATAATCCTTTTCTTCATGAATGCGTTGGTTACCTTTAGGATTAGCCACACTGTGTAGATTACTGGCTCCTGCACACTTTTACTTACTTAGGTGACCTATTGATCCTACATTCACAACTACTCTATGGCACTGTCCAAGTTGGAAGAAAGGAAGGAACCACTTGCTGCCATCGAGTCAATTCCAATTCATAGGACCCTATAGGACAGAGTGGAACTGCCCCATAGGGCTCCCAAGGCTGTAATCTTTATGAAAGCAGACTGCCACATCTTTCTCTCATGGAGCGGCTAGTGGGTTCAAGCCACTGATCTTTTGCTTAGCAGCCGAGTGCTTTAACTACTGCGCCACCAGAGCTTTCAATGAAAGAACAATGCTATGAAAATCAAAGCAAGGTTATCTAAACAGTTAACTTGCTTGGCTACTAACAGAAAGGTTGGAGGTTCAAGTCTACTCAGAGGTAGCTCAAAAGAAAGGCTTGATGATCTACTTCCAAAAGGTCATAGCCATGAAAAAACCCTATGGAACACAGTTCTACTCTGATACACGAGGTCATCATGAGTTGGAATTGACTGTCAATTGGTTGGTTAACTATGCATACTAGTCTTACCCATTTAGCTCATACAAGCACTATACGTACCGTAAACATGTACCTAAGTCTATACTATTCCTTTAAACATGTAATTTTGAAAATATTTGTTTTACTGGAGACATAAAACCAAAAACCAAACCCATTGCTGTCGAGTTGATTCTAACTCACAGCAACCCTATAGGACAGAGTAGAACTGCCTAATAGAGTTTCCAAGGAGCACATGGTAGATTTGAACTGTTGACCTTTTGGTTAGCAGTCATAGCTCTTTACCACTACGCCACCAGGGTTTCCACTGAAGGCATACAAAGTGTTTATTATTTTGGTTTATTATCCAATTTTATTCATCCTTGACAGTCTCAGGAGGCAGGTAGTATGGTTTTATTTTACTAATGATGAAAGTAAGACTGACCATACCCAATTTTCTCAAGGTGAACCTGCTAGTAGGAAGTGACAGAGTCTGAATTCTAAAGCTAATGCACATTCATTTAGAAAATCCAGCCTAAGAAATATTCTATAGTTCAGAGATAACTTAAAGAATACTGACAAAGTAACATATCATCTTTTCTCTTTTAAAGTAGGAAAAAAAGTTGGTATGTTCTGCCACATAAGCAGAGAGGTACAGTATAGAGTAAGGATACGCCCTACATTTTCTTAACAATTCTGTGGTAAATACAACTTGAGCATATTTGTCTTTAGTAATATTAGCTCAAAGACTTACTATCAAATATTCTTTTCTCCAAATGAATTAAGAACACAAAGGAAGAAAAAAAAGTGGAAAGATTTTAGCAGAAATAGATACTACAATTATTTACAATAATGAAAGTGTTACATTTTAACTATTATAAGCATAGAAGTGACAGCAATAATTACAGGCATGAAAAAGAAACAAGTGATAAAAGACATTATCTAAAAACACTTGTTAATATAAAAAGCAGCTTTAAATACAGTAGTCCCCCCTTATCCACAGTTTTGCTTTCCAGAGTTTCACTTAGCCTCTGTCAACCATGGGTAAGAAAATGTTAAATGAGTAGTGTGACAAAATCTCCCCGCCTTCCCACTCCGTCCCGCCCGGGAACCAAATTCACACAACTTTTATTACAGTATATTGTTATAATCATTCTATTTTATTATTAGTTATTATTGTTAATCTCTTACTGTGTCTAATTTATAAATTTAAATTTATCACAGATATGCATATATAGGTCAAAACACAGTATATATAGGGTTGGCTATTATCTGCAGTTTCAGGCATCTATGGGGGCCTTGGAACATATCCCCCGGTGGATAAGGGAGGACTACTGTACACCTATCCTCTGACAGTTTATAACATATCAGCATAAAAATTAGTATTAGTGACATTCAGATTTTCCCATGTTTTTTCTTAGGCAAGTAAATGTCCTCCTATATGAAATTTTTCTGTTTACTGGTTTAGGAGCTAACTTTCTTAAAGGCCTCCTGCGGGCGGCTGAAGTAATACCTTTCTTTGCTGGTGGTTCATCTTGCTGAAGAAGTTCATTTTCATTTGATCTTTTTCTTCCTGAAGAGGTTTTAGTTTTGCTGTCCTCAGGTACTTCAACTATTTCAGGACAAGTCAATTTATTCTTTATTATTAAAGAAGATGCATCAGTGTTGTCCTAAAGTAAAATAAATTAATTCACATACGGAAAGCTACAATCAATATAAAAACTACATAAATTATCTTTCAATCGTGTATCAGAAAAATTTTTCACATTTGTGGAAACATTTACTAAGTTATTTCTTAAATCACGCCCTAAAATAACTGATAGCTTTGGCAAATTTAAAAAAAAAAAATTTGTATACTCACCACGGGGGACAAAAAAACCTGCTTTACAATCCTGTTAAGCCTCTAGTTTCACACTAATACCTAAAAATAAATCCATCCTCATACTTCTTACAGTGATCAAAGGTGAATTAGAGGTAAACATGCAGATAACCAGAGAACCCTAAGACCACTTACCCCAAGTCACATTCAAAATGTGTTTTGAAAAGTATAAAAACACTAAGGTCATTATTTGCCAAAATTGTTTCTTATAGATGCTTTTACTTAAAACCTTGAACACCCACACTTGAAAATCACCAATTAATTATTCTGTTTTGTAACCAATGCCTCTTAAGTATAAGCATGTCTAACAACTCCCAAAAAAATAGTTTGACCTTAGCTTCTAGTCTATATATATATATATATATGTATATATATATATTCAAAGATGCACAGTCCACATACAGCTTTAACAGTGAGCTTCTAAGTCAGACATTTAATTTTTTTTTTTTTTAAGGTAAAGACTATACTTCCCTAAAAGGTACAATGCAGTCTTATTCAGAAAAAGGCAAAGTGAAACTTAACTATGCAAGTCTAAAATGTAATTAAGGGGAAGTATATTATAAGAGAAAAAATTAATTAAATCTCGAATACTGATAATAATCCATTTTGGGGGGAAAAAGTATGTAAAAAACAAAAAGCACCATTTTACATCATAAAATCAGCAAATGTTTTATCTGTAGGAAATATAGACAAAATGACTTTTAAGTCATAAAGTAATGGGTTATATAAAACAAACAAACAAACAAGTGCTGACCCTGCTTGTGTACAACCAAATACCTCATGGAATTTGGTTCCTTGGTTTGAAGGTTTAGGGGCATGGTTTCACGGGACACCCCAGTTAATTGGCCTAATAATGTGTTTAGTGTTTCTGTTCTACCTCTATTACGTAGTGTCTGGGGTCTTAAAAGCTTGCAAGCAGCTATCCAAGGCAAAACAAATTGGTCTCCATTCCTGGAGCAACAAAGGAAGAAGAGTCAGGCATAGGAGGAGGAAATGGAATGTGTGGCTAATTCCCTCCATGAACAGCTGCCTCCTTTGCCATAAGACCAGAGGAAATGGATGGTGCCCAGCTACCATTACTGAATATTTTGATCAAAGACTCTACAGAAGAATCCTGATCAAAAGGAGGAAAATGTACAACAGAATTGCAAAATCTCAGACTCCGAACTTTCTGGAGTCATGAACGCTGGATGAACTCCTGAAACTATCACCCTGAGATAATCTTTAAACATTAAACCAAAATTATCTCCTGGAATCTTCTTAAAACTAAACAATAGTTTAGCTTCACTAGTAAAGAATGTCTGCCTTGTGCATCGTGCTCTTTTAAGATCTACCGATATGGGATCAAATTGACAACAGCAACACAAAAGATTAGATAGGAACCTTAGGGAGCAGTGAATTTATGTTTATTGAGGAGGAACAACTCAGAAAAGGAGGGTGAGAATAATTGCATAACGCAAAGGATACAATCATTGTCACTGAATTGTACATGTAGAAATTGTTGAATTGATATACGTTCTGTTGTGTATATTCTCAACAACAAAAAAATTATACAAAAATAAATTACCCTTTCAAGTATAAGAAAAGCAAAGTTTTTTTAAGACAGTCCTAAACAGAAGATCTCATAAAGAACAACCTCTGTGTTTTCTCACAATTAGTCCCTTAATGTCACTGATAAACAACAAAATCCTGGGATAGATAGATCATACCTCTGACAAAGCTTGAGAATTTACAAACACTTCACATAACAGGTTCAGATTGCCTCCTCCCCCACTCTTAGGACTTAACAGAATGATCCAGGCAGTTTTTTTCTCCCTTCAAACTAAAATCTTCACCAAAAATCTATCCTCTAGAAGTCACTGTAATTGAAAGGAGCATTTTTTGCTCCTAGGATATGCTTGGGTAGAAAAAAAAAAAAAGAACCACCATTCAACATAAACTGCTAAGAGTGCATAAAACTTTTTCATCATTGGAAAAAGTCTACTTTTAAAATAAGCTTTGGAACACTGACCCTAGATCAACAGTTATTTGCCACAGTCAGGTAAGTTCAAAGTTACTTTGGATTTGTTTACTTCTGTATTTATGTGAATTTTAGCACAATGTTTTAAGTTAGTTGATAAAACAGTGTATAGAGCTTGTCTATAAAGTTTTGTTTATAGGCAAGGATTAATTAAATTAGCAATGTTGTTTTTTTTAATATTGATTTTTTACTATTACCCGTGGCTGTCGATTGTAACTCATGGTGACCTCAAGTGTTACAGAGAACTGAATTCCCTAAGGTTTTCTTGGCTATAATCTTTGAGGAAGCAGATCTCCAGGCCTTTCTTCTTCAGTACCACTAGGTGGGTTCTAACCACCAATCTTTTAGTTAGTAGTCAAGCACAAACCATTTGCGCTACTCACAAACATTTTTACTATCACTTACTTAAAAACTGCTAACACATTATGGTTTAGGAACATTTAGAGAAATAAATATAATGCCACTGTTAAATTTCCAACCATTTTCTTTGAAGTTGTAGTGGCCAGAAGTAATCTGTCTCTGGCTTCACTTTTTCTCATTTTTATTTTCCTTCACAAAACCAAAGGCCAGACTAAAAAAACCCTGATCAAATTATCAGAATAAAAGTGTGCAGTAAATAAACAAATTAAAGTAATGAGAACCTGGAGGTCTAGCAATTAAGTTACTGGAAAAAGTCAAGCCCCAAGTAAGTCCCAAAGGTCTTAACCTCCCGTTTCACAAATCAATTTCTTCTCTTTATCACTTTTTTATCGCTTCTACCACCACCCTAAATCAAAACCTTCAACAACAATCACCTGAACTCTTCCCAGAGGCTCCTAACTGATCTCTCTGCCTCCAGCCTACTTCCATTTCAATCCCCTCCTCCAAGTTTCCAAAAATATTTACTTAAAATTAAAAAAAAAAAAAAAAAATCAACATATGCCACCCCCCTGCTTAAAATTAACGCCTCCCCACTGCCTATAGAATAAAATTCAAACTCTTCAATATAGTATTTAGGCCTTCTACCATCTTACTAAAGTCTACCATTCTAGCCTCATTTCTTACCCCTTACTTTCTTAAAAGCACATTTTATGCTCAAACAATTGCTAGTACTTTCTTACATGACTGAAAGGTTTCTCATTTCCATGACTTTATTTTGATCCCTATGCCTGGAAAGCCAGTGTATTTTCTTGTCCCTTGTTTCTACCAACTGCTCTGCCCACTACTTTCAATTGGCTAAATTCTGCTCACCCTTTAAGGGTCAACTTAACCAATTTCCTGTCTAGAAAATATTCCCTAGATGCCCACCTCTTCTCAGTTTCCTGCACATATTGATACTTGCACTTAGCATGTTTCATTATAAGCATATTTATGTTGCTTCTTTCTTACTGGGAGCTCCTTAAGGGGACTGGTTTTTATTAATCTGTGTAATTCCCAGAATCTAGCATAGTATCTGGTACACAGTAGACAATAAAGTTTCTTGACTGAAAAAAATCATTTTATGCTTCAAAACCTTACAATCATATTAAAAGGGATATTTCTCCCATTTCAGATACAGGAAAGTCAGATAGATTAAGTAATACATCTAATACTGAAAGGCAGGCCTGCCTGCTACAGAAGATTAGACAGCGAATAAGCTACTCTTCTAGAAAGCTCATTTACCCTTGTGGCATCAAAAGCCCTTCTGATATTCGGATAAGTCAAGGAATGCTGCTGGATACTGAAGATTGACTACAAAGATACAAAGGAGGCTCAACAGCCACCTTTCTACAAGATATCACTCTAGTCTCTTCTAGGTACTGAAAAGACATAAAAAAAATTATCTCTAAACAAAGCAGAGAGGTCTGGCTATTAGTTTACTCAGACTATTGTCCCATTACCATTTATGTTTACCATTTCTATACCAAAAAAAAAATTTTTGAAGGGACTTACAATAAAAAAGTAAACATAAGAATATCAAAAATCATTTTTAAAAAAGGATTAAAAGACAAAGAGTACAGGCTGATCATCCTGGTCCAAACCAACTGAATAAGAAATTACTTAAATTTGTCTTTAGGAAAGGCTTTTAAAAACCCTTAAAAGCTTTATATGTCATAGTATATAATGTAATTTTTAAAAGAAAATATCCTTGCTATTAAGTATACGAACAATAGTATCATTGCGCCCAATAAAAACAAGTCTATATGAAAAATACAATTTATTTCCACTAAATTTCAAGTTATAGCCCTCTGGTTCCTTATGATCTATGGATATCTAAGCATATCCAAGTTCCTTTTGCCTCAGAGATCACCTTAAAATTGGCTGAAGCTTAAACTTCCAAGGGCTACATATTCTTCTCCCTCTTATGCGTGAAGTGCTGCCAGCTTAGTTTGTGGAACGTTATATTCAAAGAGGTCAAACGCCTTCTTTTAAGTTCTCAAAAATTCAGGTTTGCACAATAGCAAATTGAATTCTATGACAGGATAAGCAACTTAATATTTCTTTGTAAACTAGTCTTAGTGGAATATGCTATTTTAAATTACACTGTCTCCTCACTCATTGACATGGTTAGGTTCCAAAGACCAGGTCATTATGTAAAATCGGTATTGTGCAAAAATGGAGGATGACCACAACAGATCACAAAATGGAATATGACTACATCATTACATAACTGCCAAATTATATCATTACATAACTCCCAAACCACTGAGAATCATGGCCTAACCAAGCTGACATATAACCTTAATCATTGTAGCCAGCATTACTCTCACCTTGCGCCTCAGTGTTGTTACTGCCAGATGTACATCCTTAATGCACAAATTAGTCGGGTGGTAGATTTTTTACTATTTTCGTAAATGTGAAATGTCAGATAAGGAGATAGTTGGTAAGTGAGAAGGTGTATTTTAACTTTAAACCAGAGCATAGGCTTTTTCATCTAATTTATAATGCGGACAAATAAAGCTAAACTCTTACACTGTCTTTAAGTATGTTTTCCATATGAGACTTTAGGTTCTGAAACTTGTTGACAGTATCCTCTTTTTGCTCAATTATATCTATCAATTCTTCAATTCTCTGATTCTGCATAATTATTCTCTTTCAAAAGAAGAAAAACAGTAATGTTAGTAAATATATTTTGGGGTAACTAGAATGCAAATAAGCTGCAGTTTTTTAATTCCGTGAAATTTTAAAAGTAAGTAAAAATAGTGGCAACATACTATGCATAGCATGATCTTATTTTTGTTTAAAAAAATAAAAATATCATGTTTATAAATATGTACAAAGGAGAAGCAATACAGCATATTGGGTAAAAGAAAGCTGAAATCAGGCTGCCTTGGGGTTTGAATTCCAGCTTCTCCATTTTCCTGCTGTATGATCCTGGGCAAGTTACTTAACATCTCTGTAAAAATTAAAAATATTAATAGTATCTACATCATAAAGTTGTTTAGAGATTTAAATGAGAAATATATGTAAAGCACATTAAAGAGTGCCTGGTAGGTAGTGTTTATAAACCAAACCCACTGCTATCCAATCAATTCCAACTCCTAGCTACCCCATGGGGTTTCCAAGGCTGTAAATCTCTACAGAAGCAGACTGCCACATCTTTCTCCCACGGAGCCGCTGGTGGTTTCAAACCACTGACCTTTTGCTTAGCAGTCAATCGTTTTAACCACTGCGCCACTAGGACTCCTTGTTTATAAACATACGCATATACAAGTTAAAAGTCTAGAAGAACTACCCATTTGTTGGATTTGTCTTCATTTTTAATTTAGGAAGAAGATTATGGGGACCTTTATATTCTACATATTTTAATATTAATTGATTTTTTATAACTAGCATCTACTATTGTATAGCTAGAAAAAACAAAAGAAAAGATTAGGAATTGTCTAAATACTAACTGTAGTCTCTTCTGCCAAGTGTATTATTTTGGTGACTTCTTTAAATACTGGCTATTAGATACCAAGATGTTAAATTATTTATATATGATCATATCTTAAAATATTCAGTTCTTTATAAGAAGATAAATGTAAGTTAAAATAAGAAGACCCATGCCAGAGAAGGACAAGAAAAAAAATATGTTCAGAGCTCTAAATTCATTTTATCTCCACGTATACTTGTAATTTTATTTTTAGACCTATAGATGTCAAACTCATCTACAACCATTTGAGACACTTATCTGATCTGAAGGTATCAAGGTTCTAGGAATCCTCAGGAAATAAGCCTTTGTTCCCATGCTGCATACTGCCCTAGCCATATCCCAGATTTTAAAACATTCAGCAAGTTCTCACAAAATAAACACCACTTAAATACTACATCTAATCAACACCATGCACCTAGGAAAAGAATGAGATAGATCTGTATGTGCTGATGCAGAATTATCTGCAAGATATTTTTCAAGAGAAGAAAGCAAGATTTAGAACTACAATCTGATTTATGTAAACATTTTTCAAAAAGTATTTGTGTGGGTGAGTGTTCTATATAGGCATAAGACTTTTCTAGAAGGATTCAAGAAATTTTACAGTAGCCACCACTAAAAAGAGGTATGGGAGTGAAAGGACTTGTACTTTTCAATTAATCACGTTCATTTATTACTTTTATTAAAATTATTTTTACAATAAATGTACTAGTCATATTCATGCCCTCTTCATTTACTTAATTATTAGGCTTCTTATCAACACAAAATAAATAAAGCTTAAAGTATCACCTTATTAGAGTTCTCAAGCTCTTGAACCAATGAATTTAAATTAATTTCTGATTCTGAAAAAATAAAGAACAAATTAGTAATGAAAATAAGCATCTAAGCATCTAAAAAATATACAATGAGATAACTATGGAACATAAGTTGCTACAGTAGACACTTTAACTAATGTTACCTGCAGGAAAGAAGATTTTGACCAATACTCGATGCACGCAGCACTTAGCTGCTAATTCTACCACTAGAGAGTAATGTTTCAGAAAGGCCACTTTCAAATAGCCATTCAAGGTGCTAAATAGTAAAGGGCTACCAGTATAAGGTCAAGGAAGACAGGAGCCAGTGTCTTTCTGGTCCACTTCATAGTTATAGACAACATTTACCTACCATTTTCCACTCATCTTGTTTCACATAGAAAAGGGCAGAGAATAGAGCATTTCATGTAACTTTCTTTTTTCTTTCTTTTTAATTTAATTTTTATTGTACTTCAGGTGAAGGCTTACAGAACAAATAGTTTCTCATGAAACAGAAGTACACATGTTATTTTATGACATTGGTTAACAACCCCGCAACATATCAACCCTCTAACTTCTCAACTTTTTTTTTTTTTTTGGTGAAAATACACAGCCAAAGATACACCATTTCAAAAATTTCTACATGCACAGTTCAGTGACATTGACTACGCTCTTCCGATTGTGCTGTTATTCTCACTTAAGATGAAGGCTTACAGAACAAAATAGTTTCTCATTTAACAGTTACTACACGTTGCCCTATGACAATGGTTAACAATCTCACAACACATCAACAATATCCTTACTCAACCTTAGGTTCCCTATCACCAGCTTCCTTGTCCCCTTCTGCTTTCTGGCTCTTGTCATTGGACTCCTGTACCTCGTTAGTCTCATTTGGTTTTACCAGGCTGTCCACTCCCAGGCTGAACAGTGAACCTCGGAGGTAACTTCACCACTGAGCTAAAAGGGTGTCTGGGGGCCACACTCTCGGGGCTTCTCCAGTCTCCTTTAGGCCAGTAAATCTGGTCTTTTTGTGGGTTAGCATTATGCTCTACATCCTTCTCCAGCTCTGTCCAGAACCCTCTGCTGTGATCCCAGTCAGAGCAGTGGTGGTAGCAGGGCACCATCTAGCTGTACTGGACTCAGTCCGGTGGAGGCCTTGGTAGCTGTGGACAGTTAGTCCTTCAGACTCATCTTTCCCTTGTATCCTGTCATGTAACTTTCTTAAAAGCCAGATGTGACAATCTTACTTACACACACACACACACACACACACACACACACACACACACACACACACACATTCACTCTATAGATCCAATGTGATTTTTTAATTTCCTGATAAAGATTTAAAGCAAATTAAGGAAAAATATTTAATGCTAAGTTAATGGAAAGTCATATAAGTGGTAAAATATTAAATGTTACCTAGATCAAAGAATTTTCTGGTCACTGCAGTAAATAAGCTTCATGAATATGTTAAACTTATCAACTGTACTGTTTATGTGTTTATAATATCTAAATAAAGGAAATGTAATTTACTTACCATTTTCTCTCTTTTTTAACTTTTCTTGGGTTTTAATTAATTCTTCTTTGGTCTTAGCTAATTCAGCTTTAACTTGATTAAACTTTAGTTCTAAACAAGCAATTGCTTCCTGGGGGTCAGCAAGAGATGCAATATATAAGTGAGCAATTTCAGCCTGTTTCTTAATATCAGTGACATCATCTTGAAGAGAATCAATAATGTCTTCAATTCCTATACAATTATGTGTTCCCTAAAAATTGCAAAAACCATATGCCTAATGTTAACAGTGGCTTTCACTCTAACAGTGTGGCACCACATTATTTAGACAGTTTTAAAAGCAGATAGCAAAAACTTCACAAACAAACAAACAAAAAAAAATTACATAGAAGTATCTCCAATTATGAAAATGTTGTGTTCCATTATTCCTCTTTGGCTGTATGAAGCATGAGGCATATTTTCCCATAAAAACAATGTCATAAACTGTGATAAATCATTGTAGCATAATTATGATTACTTACTTCATAAATAAGTTCAATTACATAATGAGTTTTAAAAGACTTTGGTGAAAAAGCACAGGAAACAAACCTCCGTTTTCACAACTCAGTCCAAGTCCCAAACCATGTCAGGGACACATAATGGTGTTTTGACAAGAGCCTAGATTTCACCATCCCAGGCCCTTGAAGTGAGTGATTAAAAAACAAAATAAAACAAAAAAACAACAACCAAAAAAATCTGATCCATTTCAGGTTCAGTGGCAGCATGGAAATGGCGTACAGAAAAGGATGTTTCTGCAACAGGAGGGAATGGTCAGTTGCCCAGCAAGAATAATCCTTTTCATATGCACACTTTTTTGTTTTAATCAGAGCAGTTACACTAGATGACCCGCTAAGTTCCTTATATGTTAAAATTCTTCAATTTTAAAACAAACCTGGGAGGGATATCCACTAATTAGACAAAAAAAGAATAGAAACTTACAATCAATACAATATCTCAAGCAATACCAATATCAGACATAAATATAAGCAGTGTAAATTTTTCCAAGCCCAACCACTATATTAAACTGTATGTGCTTACATATCTAACAGAACAGGCTTTATAATAATAAAACTACGTAGTAAGATTTGTGGGCTTTTTTAAAATTCTGAAGTATACTGTTTCTCAGTATTTATGTAGCACACTAAATCCTACAACCAAAAATCTCACTGGATTTTTTTTTTTTTAATATTTCAATTAGCATACTTCAGTTTCAACTTTCATGGCAGGATCTTCATTTGTTGGTTCTTCTTGAAGGTTACATTTACCAACTAAATCCTTGAAGATAGCCAAACGACATTCAGCATTTTCTTCCAATATCTCTCTTTCCTGAAGGAGAGTTTCCCTTTGTAAGACAAATTAATCCCATTAAGAAACAACAAAAGCAGGACTTCATGTTTTTGTTTTAAACATCTAAGATTAAATACCAGTACATGATAAACTAAAAAAGCAAATTTACATAATCACCTACATACAATTCAGAATCACTACAGAGATTTCTAACAGCTATTTTCAACCTTGTACAGAGGTCAATTCTTAATTCAGATAAACTATTTAATATAAAACAAGTAAATAAAATTCTCAGTTTTTACCAGGACATGAAGGAAACAACTTACTTAAAGTCAGCTTCCCGTTGAGCCAAATACTGAGTAAACTCCTGTGTAACTTCTTCTCGAATTTTTAATTCCAATGTTAACTTTTCTTTTTTTTCATTTATCAGCTTTTTTTTCAAGTCTTCAATTAAATCCAATAGTTTCTAAAATATGTATATATTAAAATTATTACAAAAGAATAAATAGATCCCAAAAGAAATACTACCCACATATGCAGAAAATAAAATTCTTACTCTTTTCATTTAGCTGATTTTAAGTATGCATCGTTTTAAAAATAATTATAACTAAAAATTAGGCATTTACAAAGATTTGTTAATCTGGAAATTCAAATAAAACTTTCCACATTTTAGAAAGAAACTTATATTAACTCAAATGTCTTTCAAGTATCTAGTTACAGTAAGAAAAAAGGAAAGTAAATTTGAGCAGTGAGTATTATTCACCTGGGAATACTTTGGGAAGCTCCATATTTAATTTCATTTAATCCATAAAACTTTCTGTGAGCTTGGTAACATTCACATATCTTAAGTGGGGAAAGTAAGACCAGGTCTCTGGTAAATGTTAAAGTTGGGGTTCAAAACTGGTCTGTTAAAACTCTGAAACCCAAGTTTTGTATAAAAAAACAGAGAAACCTGTTGCCATCGAATCAGTTCCAACTCACAGCAACCCCATAGGACAGAGTAGAACTGCTCCATAGGGTTTCCAAGGCTGTAAATCTTTACGGAAGCAGACTGCCACATCTTTCCTCTGTGGAGCGGCCGGTGGGTTCAAACGGCTGACCTTTCAGTTAGCAGCTGAGCGCTTAACCGCTGTGCAACCTGAAACACTTTCCAAAGTGCCAGGGAGAGATATTACAAAACTTTATTTTATTGGACTTTTAACTATCCAAGTGTGGGCAACAACTCTATAGCCTTTGAAAACACATATATAAGCAAATAATATGGACAGTGAACAAATAAAGCAACTAACAATTAGCATGGCCATTACATATTCATAACAAAATAAATTACATCATTAAGAAAACAGCTAGACAGCCTAAGACCAGAAGAATTACATGGTGATGGCTACCACTACCAGCTGTTCTGATGAGGGACACGATAGAAGGCCCCGGACAGAAAAGGAGAAAAATGTAGAACAAAACTCAAATTCCTAAAAAAGGCCAGACTTATGGACCAATAGAGACTAGAGAAACTCCCAAGACTATCACCCTGAGAAACCCTTTGAACTCGGAACTGAAGCCATTCCCAGTGGTCACCTTTCATCCAAATAATAGACTGGATTATAAACACTACCTCCCATGAATACTGTGCTCCCTTAAGTAATCAACTATATGAGACCAAACGGACAACAATTACCCTAATACAAAGATGAGAAGCTAAGCAGGAGCAAGGAAAGCTGATTAATCGAACCTGAACAAAAAGAATGGAAATAACAAGAACGTTGACACATTATGAAAAATGTAACCAATGTCGTGGAAAAAGCTGTGTAGAAATTGTTAAATAGGAACCTAATTTGCTACGTAACTTTCATCTAAAACCCAATAAAATATCAAAAAAAAAGACAACAGCCAGATACTCTTTTTGAAGGTTTCTGATTAAAATTTCTAACAATAAGTTAATCAATATCCTCTTTAAAAGCTATAAATCTTTTAATTTCTCAACTTAATACTTGAAAATATTTCTATAGATACCTTGACTCAGAAATTCTGCTTCTAAGAACTTATACTGAAGATATAATTATACACCATGACCCAATGTTTTAGCTGTAAGAATGATTATCAATGTTGTTGTTTTGTGGTGGTGGTTGTATTCAAACAGAGGAAAGTGAAACTCAACTCAATGGCCAACCATAAGGGACTGGTTCGATTATGGTAGTCAACAGTAAATTACTACATATATAATCAATAACAATGATGTGTATTAAACCCATACTTGTCATAATTTATTTTTAAATAAAGAAAATCAGGTTACAAAACAGCAAGGTACAGCAAAAATCCATTAATATGGATGGCAGATTAGAGAGATATTTATATTCAAATTTTTCTTTTTCTTATTTATTTCCAGTTTCTACCATGGCTATATACTACTACTATTACTTTTCCAATTTTAAACAAACCACCAGTTTTCCCACTGTTCATAGCAAAAAATAGTAATTATGGAAGGAGAGATGTGGGAGACAGAGATATCAGCGTAAACGTGGGAATACCTTGGAAAGTTGGTTTATTTTAATAATTCCTAACAATTAGTTTTTTTTATTGTTGTTAGCATTTGATCATTTTGGCTGAAAGAAAAATTCTGGTTGGCTATTCTAAGGTAAGCTGTGTGGTAATCTTCTAGTCTAAGTATAAATATGCAATTATCAATATATTTCCTAACTATTTTTAATAGCCCCAATCCTTCAATTAAAATGCTAATATAATGTATGCAAAGCCCAAACATTTCTATTTTTAAAAGTCAAATATTGGATAAAACTTTGATGAAATTTTGAAAGTATCTAGTCAATGTTACAAAAAGAATGAATTTACACTATGTAATCCATCATAAACTATAGTCAGGACTACTAATGGCTCCTTTTTTCAGAGAAAAGTACTAAATTTCAGAAGTAAATAAGGTCTAACCACATAGAGACCCCATAAACTAGGACTTGGACAGCATCGGAAGCTTTCATTCTTGTTTCCAAACAACAGAGGTGCAATAATGACTTTCAAGTACACTTAAGTAAATTATTAAAACAACAGTATTTAAACCAACACACCCTCCATTTTATTTGGACTTCTACAGTCCAAAAGAGCACTATGATGTGAGACATGTCAACATCACTCAAGCATACCCACAAACATAGGTTTACCAGTGTTCCCAGGACACGGGTAAGAAGACTCCATGTATACATATGTAGTTACGGGGAATTGGTAATGTGGACATGATCTAAATTTCAGAATTAACTAAAATAGATATGTGAACTGTATTTCAACAGAGATTCAAAGAACTACTCTTAAATATTATTTATTTACTATAAAAATCAGATTACTGAGCAATACCTGTTTTTGAAGAATTAGGATAATTTGTACTGGGTAGACATTTTCAGCACTTGCCCTTAGAACTGCAAATTAAAAATTGGTGGGGTATGCTAAAATCAGTGGGTGAAAGGATATTGGGGAACAGGATATTGACATGGTCTCAAAGTATCATCCCACAGATTAAGTGCTTTTATATTAAAGAGTGATCTCAAAGACAGTATCTTAATCAAGTGAGCAAAACTTAGCATCACCAAGAATGAGAAAATCAGACATCATGTGGATCCTGATGTGATGCAATGGAAATTCACAGTTTCATCTATATAATATGTTTGCATAAAGTGTTAAACCTAAACCATGAGAAAGTATCAGCAGATCCAGATTGGGGGTATTCTACATAACAACCAGTCTCAACTCTGCAAAAAATGTCAATGCTACATTAGAGATAACTAAAGAAATGACAACAAAAAACAATGTGCTAGCTTTGGTTGTAGGTCTTAAAACAAATGAGCTATAAAGGACATAGTGGGACCAGTGGAAAAGTCTGAATATGGATGGTATAATAGGTTACATTATATCATTGTGAAATTTGAGTATGAAAATGGTCTTGTGATTTTGAGGAAAATTTTCACTTTCTTACAATATATATGCTGAAGTATTTACTTGTAAAGTCACTTCAAAAGGTTCATTAAAAAAAGTGTACTGACCAATACTGGGGAAGCTAGCACAACTTGTTCAGGGTAAGGTCATGGAAGCTCCATGGACAAATCCAAACTCCCTCAGGGACCAAATTGTGGGCCGAGGGCTGTAGGGACCATGGTCTTAGGGAACATCTAGCTCAACTGGCATAACATAGTTTATAAAGAAAATGTTCTATATTCTACTTTGGTGAGTAGCATCTGGGGTCTTAAAAGCCTGTGACCAGCCACTCCACTGGTCTCACTCCTTCCGGAGCAAGAGAAAACTGAAGACACAAGAGAAAGATTACTCCAAAGGACTAACAGACCACAACTACCACAGGCTCCACCAGACTAAGTCCAGTACATCTAGATGGTGCCCGGCTACCACCACTGACTGCTCTGACAGGGATCACAATAGAGCATCCCAAACAGAGCTGGAGAAAAATGTAGAACAAAATTCTAACTCACAAAAAAAGACTAGACTTACTGGCCTGACAGAGACTGGAGAAACCCTGAGAGTATGGCCCCCGGACAGTCTTTTATCTCAGTAATGAACTCACTCTGGAGGTTCACCTTTTAGCCAAAGATTAGACAAACCCATAGGACAAAACGAGACTAAAGCGGCACACCAGCCCAGGGGCAAGGACTAGAAGGCAGGAGGGGACAAGAAAGCTGGTAATAGGGAACCCAAGGTTGAGAAGGGAGACTACTGACATGTCATGGGGTTATTAACCAATGCCATAAAACAATATATGTACTAACTGTTTAATGAGAAGCTAGTTTGTTCTGTAAACCTTCATCTGAAGTACAATTTAAAAAAAAAAAGGTATACTGACATAAAACAATAACTGAAGAAAATATGGCAATATGTTAACAATTGGCAAATCCAGGTGAAGGGTAAACGGGTGAATGGATGTTCATTTTACTAGTCTTTTTGTAGGTTTCAAATGTTTCAAAGTATAAAATTATGAGAGAAAAAGCTTTGTGGACTGTTGAAAAATATGGAGGCGAGGGGGCCTTAAGAATTGTTAACTTTAACTTTAGAATAATTATAATAAACCAAGTTTATAAATATGAGTTGTTAATACATACTCTCTTCTCTTGACTAATGAGAGCCTTGTCTTCCTCTAAAGTTTGATCTAGATCTTCTTCAGTAAATTCAGTTCCCACATTTTTGTTTTCTTCAGCTTTTTCTAGATCCTCAGTCAAATCTTCATCTTCCGCCAGATCTTCAAGATTACTTTCCCATGAAATGGTGGTTCTTTTTACATTTAATGTTTTATTGTCTAAATCATTAATGTCTAATGATGTATCCTGAGAAGACTTGACAGGTGCAAATGATTTTCCTAAAGAGGTATTTAAAGTGTCTGGAACAAAAACCTGTTAAGATACCCAATGTGACTTTTAAAAGCAGAAAAGGCAAGGACTGTCCACTAAAAGATAATTAATTTTACAAATTTAAATCAAATGACAACTTGAATTTTAAATGAAAAACTATGCAAACAAACATACAAAAAAAGGAATTACCATCCTTAAATGAGCATCCCAATAAGAAAAAGTTAATTACACATGTAAAATACAGGTAAATCTACCTTCCTAGGTTTAAACTCTTAGTACTATAACTAGTAGGGGATACCCACAAGCACTAACTGAATCGAATGGTAGAGGAAGACAATTGATTCCAAGAACACTCATAATTTGTAACTGATCTTTAATATTAACCTTTATTACTAAGGTCATTTTAATCCCCACAGAGGCAACTTTCAATCTTTTCCCATCTCTTTCCATTTGGTCAAATATTTACGTTTTTAACTTTTAATTATTTCCCAGGTTTATAGTAATAAGTGTAAAATACATTATTTATTCTAAGAAAAGGTAGCTAATATTCTAATAATCAGAAGAGGTTTAATACATTCCGCAGAACTTTAAATATACTTACTCTTTGTGCAGTGGCTGAGAACTTCAATACATTGAGTGTTTCATCATAGGCAAAACAACACTGGCTGATATTGACAATCATACATATTTTCCCTTTACCATTAAAAAAACTTTGAAAATAGTGGGTAAGTTTACTTTCCCGAAAAGGCACATGCTGTTGAAACCTATGGAAAAATTTTTCAAAGAACAATGATTTATAGCAAATCTCATGAAGTCAGGATGTTGATAAATTTTATGAAGAAGTAATTAATCCAGCTACCATGGATTTTAACTCTATGTTAGTGATTAGTTCCACCTGTAATAGATGTTTTCTGTTTATTTATGCTGCGTTCTTTAAATACTACTACTAATAGGAGTCCCCAGGTGGCGCATATGGTTAAGTTCTAGACTACTAACCAAAAGGTTGGTGGATCAAACCCACCCCAAGACACCTCGGAAGTAAAGCAGGGCAATCTGCCTCCAAAAGGTCAGAGCTTTGAAAACCCCGTAGAGAGCAGTTTTGCTCTGCACACATGGTCGCCATGAGTCAGGATCAACTTGACCGCAACTAACAACAACTACTAATAACAGTAACCCACTAGGCCAAATGTAAAGGAAATTACATTTAACAGGGTTGCATTCCCTAGCGTACAGCAATTATGTGATACCCCTGTTCTGGTCGAATCGATTTTGACTCACAGGGACCCTATAGGGCAGAGAAGAATTGCCTCATAGGGTTTCCAAGGAGCAGCTGGTGGATTCAAACTGCCAACCTTTTGGTCAGCAAGCTCTTTAACCACTGCACCACCAGGGCTCCAATTATGCAACACATATGCCAAGAAACAACTAAGAATAGTGAAGGCTGACTTCTCATTTACCCAGCCTAAAATGCTAATTTACACAGAAATCTATCATAACTAGAAGAATACACACAATGCATTAGAAAAAATAAAGTGGTTTTAAATACAAATCAGCATCATGAGAAGCTTATTATCCAAAGCATCTCCTGATATTTAATATTTGTTACGGAAAATATTAAGGAGACTTGGTGGCACAAACAGTTAAGTATTTGGCTGCTAACTGAAAAATTGTTGGTTCTAATCCACCTGGCAGCTCAGTGGGCTTAGCAGGAGAGAGATGTGGTGATCTGCTTCCATAAAGATTACAGCTTAGAAAACCCTATGGGGCAGTTCTTACTCTGTCACATTGAGTTGCTATTGGTCAAAATTGACTCAGGGGTACCTAACAACATGAAAAATACTGTGTTGATTAAGTCACTGGCATCAACTGACATTGTTTTTTATTTTTACTTTTTTTTTCCTTTAAGTTTAATAGAAACTACAAAAGATCAATGGGCTCATGGTCCACTTTAGTCCTTTGGGCTAGTATTTTCCTTCTCTGGTTTTCTTCATTCTCCTTTGATCTGAATGGGATGGGACCAATTGATGTATCTTAGATGACTGCTCACTAGCTTTTAAGACCCCAGACGCCTCACCAAAGTGGGATGTAGAACGTTTTCATAATAAACTATGTTATGCCAATTGACCTAGATGTCCCCTGAAACTATAGTACCAGGTCCCAGCTCCAACTCCTTTGTCCCTCAAAGTGTTTAGATGTGTCCAGGAAAGTTCTTTGCTTTTGCTTTGGTCCAGGTGTGCTGACTTCCCTGTATTGTGTTATCCTTCCCTTCACTGAAGTTAATACCCGTCTACTATCTAGTTAGTGATTTCCCCTCCTTTCCTCTCCCTCCCCACCCTCGTAACCATCAAAGAATGCTTTTTTGTGTGTTTAAACCTTTTCTTGAGTTCTTACAATAGTGGTTTCATGTAATATTTGTCCTTTTGTGACTGATTTATTTCACTCAGCATAATGCCCTCCAGGTTCATCCATGTTGTGAGATGTTTCACGGATTCATCATTGATCTTTATAGTTGCATAGTATTCCATTGTGTATATATACCATAATTTATCCATTCATCTGCTGGTGGGCATTTAAGCTGTTTCCATCTTTTTGCTATTGTGAATAATGCTGCAATGAACATGGGTGTGCATGTGTCTATTCGTGTGACAGCTCTTATTTCTCTAGGATATATTCTAGGAGTGGGATTGCTGGATCATATGGTCTTTCTATTTCTAGCTTTGTAAGGAAGCACCATATCATTTTCAAAGGGGTTGTACTACTTTACATTCCCACCAGCAGTGCATAAGAGTTCCAATCTCCTCACAGTCTCTCCAACATTTATTATTTTTTTGCTTTTTAGACTCATGCCAGTAATTTCGGGGTGAGATGGTATCTCATTGTAGTTTTGATTTGCATTTCTCTAATGGCTAGTGATCGTGAGCATTTCCTCATGAGGATCAAACGTTATCTTTCCATTTTTAATTTATGCATTCTAGATAGGAGAGACAAGCATCTAAATCAACCTCTATTTATATGCTAAATCATTATGTTCCAAACATTTAGCCAGAGCTCCAGCGCTGTATTTTCCAACTAGTTGCCAGATATTTCAACTCTGTTCCACTGTCATCCATATGCCTGCCTGCCTAAAACCAATTATCTTTCACCTAGCCCAAATCTCTCAAACCTGCTCCTTCTCTTGACATTCCAACTTCTACTGGAATATTTAGCCACCTGAATGTCTTCTTTAGTGAAGTGTCTGTTCATATCCTTTGCCCATTTTTTAACTGGATTATTTGTCTTTTTGTTGTAGAGCTGTTGGATTTTCCTATAGATTTTAGAGATTAGACCCTTATTGGGTATGTTGCAGCCAAAATTTTTTCCCAGTCTGTAGGTTCTCTTTTTAGTCTCTTGGTGAAGACTTTTGATGAGCATAATTATTTAATTTTTAGGAGCTCCCACTTACCTAGTTTCTCTTCTGGTGTCTGTGCATTGTCAGTTATGGCTTGTATACTATTTATGTCATGTATTAGGGTCGCTAGTGTTGTCCCTATTTTTTCTTCCAGGATCTTTATTGTTTTAAATTTTATATTTACGTCTTTGATTCATTTTGAGTTAGTTTTTGTGCATGGTGTGAGGTATGGGTCCGGTTTCATTTTTTGCAGGTGGATATTCAGTTATGCCAGCACAATTTGTTAAAGAGACTATTTTTCCCCAATTAACGGACTTTGGGCCTTTGTCAAATTATCAGCTGCTCACCGGTGGATGAATTCACATCTGGATTCTCAGTTCTGTTCCACCGGCCTATGTATCTGTTGTTGTACCAGTACCAGGCTGTTTTGACTACCGTCGCAGTATAATAGGTTCTAAAATCAGGTAGTGTATGGCCTCCCACTTTGTTCTGACATTGTTTTTTATTTCTACCTTGGTTTTTAAATCTAAGATCTCTAAATACTTTCATCGTAATCCATACACCTACTACATAAAAAAGCAGGCTGAAAACAAAAAAAAGCACTTTCTAAAAATAGCAAAATAGAACTTTAAATACCATCATACTTAACATGCTAATAGCTCTTACTTTCAGTAACACTTACTTTGACTTTTCACTGTTCTTCAAAACATTAATACACTTTCCAAGGGTCAATAAAGAAGTGTTGATGTTTCCAGTCTCTCTTAACCTTTCGCCTTCATTCTGTGTCTTCATGCTTCGTTCTGAACCAGCAAGATCGCATAAAGACAATCTGAATTAACAAAAATAATAATTACTTTAAAAGTCCTTCAAAACAATTCAAAATAATTAAATTTTTAAAATGCTCAACTTACTCGCTGACTCGCAGTACACGAGGCATTTCAGAATCTTCAATCTGTAATATTCTAATAGTGAATATGCTGTGACTAAAAAGAAATGTACCAAGATCAAATGTTATCTTTCCATTTTAAATTTTTGCTCTAAATAGGAGAGACAAGCATCTAAATTTATATCCTAAATCACTAAGCAGCAAACATTTAGCCATAGCTTCAGCACTGTATTTTCCAACTAGCTGCCAGATATTTCAATCCAGTGTTCCACTGTCACCCATATGCCTGCCTGCCTGCCTAAAACCAATTATCTTTTACCTAGCCCAAATCTCTCAAACCTGCTCCTTCTCTTGACATTCCAACTTCTATTAATGGAATCGTTACAAAAAATTCCCACTTTACTTCTAAGAATCATATAATTAAAATGGTATAATGTGCCGCTAATCTTCTTTGACTATATACCTAAAGCAAAGCATGGATTTGACCTATGTAAAGGCATATCTGGATCTTAGGATATAGACAGGGCTTCTTCTCCTTAAGAGAAAAGCTATTTTAAATATCTCACTGCTTAAACTTAGATCCTTTTGTTTTCTAACCCCTAATCCCTTCCATTAAAAATATCCTTCTTTAATTCCTTAAGATTTATGGCCTAACTCAGTATGCATGTATTGTCTGTATTCATGGGATAAGTGGGAAAGGACAGAGAAAAGATCACCATTATAAGCAGTTTTGAAAATACTGACCTTAGGCATCCACATAAAGAGAAAGTAAAAATACCCAAGAGGCTTCTTCCCCCAAATCAATAAAACTAATGTTAGGATAAGAAACAGTATTGACAGTATTATGTGTTTAGTGCTCTTCAGTTTACAGAATGTTTTTATAACTATGAATTCACTTAACATATCAGAGAACCTATTGCCCACCTTGAGCTAAAATTACTTATATTTTAAATTAGCACAGAATACCCTGGGTGATTCAGGCTTACACCATAGGGTTTGCTCCTTACCTTCTACTAGAAGCATTATTCAGTTTTGTGAAGGCAACACTCTGGTTCTTTATTCCTACTTTTAAAAGTCTATATGCTTCTTTGGAATCAGATACTTGAATCCATTGAAGGTCTTTAAAACAAAACAAAAAAAAGACACATCAATTCATAAAAACACAGGATTTGTTCTGTAACATAATCTCTTTGAAAATCTCTTCCTAGAAACATATAATGAAATCTTTCTTTTAATAAGACACCCTAGATGGAGTCAACACAGCTATTCCATATGATACTAGAGAGAAGGTACAGAAGAAGAGTATATTACACTGATGTTCCAGTATTTACGTTATACAATCACACAAAGTAAACGTTCTTCAACAGTCTGCCAAAGACTGAATTTAATTATTATCTTAATAATTAAGATAATTAATTAAAGACAAAAGAATATTAAAAACAAGTAAGATTTCTTAGAATTAGAAACCCAGAAAGATAAAGACAAAATACAGTACAGACTAAATTTGCAAAATTTGTGAGACACTGCAGGTTGCAATTCATTAGTGAGTCATGAAACCAAATTTATTGGGTAACAACCAGCATTCTTAAAAAAGGACACAGAACACAGAAACAATGACAGTGCAGTCCTTGTAGTAAGGGAAAGAATACTTACTGAAACTTTTGAGTTATAAATATATCTATACATGTACACATATGCAGGTACTGGTCATGATGTTATTAACATGTATTTCTTAATGTGGGCAGTGGTTTAACATGGTTCAAAAACACCACTGTGGAAGCACAGTAACATTTCAGAGCTCCAAAGGCTGGACACTGTCACAAAGCAGCAGAACAATGTGACTCTCAATACACACGGCTTCTTCTATCTCCAAAAATTCAATCACTGGTACTCAAGCTAAGATAATACTAAAATAGACCCCTTTATATTCAAGTGTTAACGAACATACCATCCACATACTTCCATAACCCAAACTCCTCCTGCTCTCTTTATTTCAATAATTAGTATAAAAAATTTCATTTTCTAGTTTGTTTCCTTTTAAGCTGTCACAAAGCCTAAAAGTGAGATTTGGAGTAATAAAACTATTCACTGGTATACCTTTTATAAAAGAATAGCCCTTTACATCTTGGGAAAGGCGCAGCATCTTTCTCTTTTGAAACTTGGGTGATCCAGGAACAAACAAGTCATAAATGCATTCATTATAAATTTCAAAGAAAGAAACCCACACAGAAAATTTTATATTATCATCCATATTTAAGCTAGCTTGTTCACAATCTATCACGGATTCTTCACACTCTGGGGTATTCAAAGAGTTTATTAAACTTCCTAGAAAAAAAAAAGATAATTACAAAATTAAGCAATAGCCTAAAAATGAGACAAAAGGACAGATAAATCAAGACTCCTGGGCCTGAAAAACTAAGTGTCCTTAATCCTTTGACCAAACACATTTTCAAACAAAGCAAGATGTAATTGATATTTGGATTAAATAAAGTTTGGCTTCGTCTTACTCTTTTTGAAGACATGCTAAGGAACCAAACTTAGACTAAAGGTAAAGGACAAAGAAAAACAAGTGTCTACTATTAAAATATGAAAGTCATAACCAGTAAAAGGGATATCTGTGATAATTAATCTAAATAAAACTTTATGCCAACAAACATTTCATACAGGCATATATCACTGCTCAGGTATTACTAAATATGTCATTAAAGGAACTAGCAGATTTAGGAACGACTCAAATATTAAAACCTCTCAAATGTATTTAATATGCTCAACATTTTAAAGATAAGTGGGAAAAGAAACTTTACCATAAAGAGTATCAGAACTGTCATTATGCATAGCAACCTGAAAAAGAAAGTTAAAAAAAAAAATATGTATTTAGTTATGGTTAAACAACCAAGATATTAATTACCTATTCAAATTAATCACCAACCATACCACAACCTTTCATCCACTTGACCTAATTACTTCTGTTTATTTTTTCTTAAATAATATATCCTCATAATAGTAAATTAGAGAAACTACAGAAAAATGTTTCTAAAATATTATCATGCATAACCCCCGCCATCCAGAGACAATTACCGTTGATATTTCAGTATATCTCCTTTTATTCCTTTCCCTCACACTTAAAGCACTATAGGCTTTTTATCCCTATAACTAAAAATTCTTTGTAAATATTTCATGGGTGCATAACTGAGTAGATGTAAAAAACTTAATTATTTCTCTACTATGGAATATTTAGATGATTATTTACAAACTTTTGCCAGTAGAAACAATACTATACAATAAGCATCTTTATATATTGTTTTTTCTCTTGTATTCTAATTATTCCCTTAGGGTATATTTCTAAAACTGGAATTGGTGGGTAAAAAGATGATATGAAAAAATCTTTAAGTTCTTACTTTTAATATAGTATTGTCAAATTGCTTTCCAGAAACACATTTTGTAATCAATGTGAAAGTGCACATTTCATTTTAAAAACTTTTAAATAATTACATAGGCAAAATAATATTTTGTTTTAACTGGATAACTAGGGAAATTTTTTCAATATTAACATTTTTAATTTCCTTTAGGAATTATCTACTAAATTATCCACTAACCTCCATAATTTTTGTTAAAAGCTTCAACTATTTTATTTTCAGAGATCATAATCATGGACTCTGACCTTTGATCTCCACGACAAAACTTTTCATTATTACCCTGAGACACTGGTTTCTAAATGTCTTCGAAAAAAAATTTCCCATTACTATCTTTTAAATATTTATAAAAACTGTTAATGGTTTTTAACAATCTTGAATCGGATAAACATCTGAAAATATAACACAAAACCCAGAAGACATAGGGGGAAAAATAGGCAAATACAACTTTATAAAAAAAACTTGACCAGTCTGTATGGCATCACCTTATATAAAATAACATCTCCTCACAGCATATCATATAGGTATTTTTTTTATTAACGTATTGTTAGTTCTTTCCCCTACTAGGAATAAAACCTCCATGAGGGCAGTTGCATGTGTTCTCAACACTGAAAACATTGCCTGGACTATACAGGTGCTCTAATACAAATTTGTTAAATGGTAAAAAGCACGATAATCAAAGAGGGTGGGGGACAAACAATAAGCAGCAAAACTTGTAACCCATATAATAACGAATTGAAAATTTTAAATAAACTCTTACAAACGAATAAAAAGTCAAATTATAGTAGAAAAATGGACAAGCAACATGTCTGGCAATTTACAGGCAATATGCCTGGTAATTTACAGAAAAACTCTTAAGACACACTAATCACTTCATTTATAATTCAAAAAATATATCTTAAACCTAAGCAAGACCATTTTCACTTATCAGACCAAAAACTTTTAAATGCCCAATGTTGGCCAGTTTTGGAAAACTAGCACCATCATTTATGGATACTGCGGGAGTGATATGAGTACAAAAATATAAAATATGCATATTCTTTGACACAGCAGTTCTATTTCTAGGAATTTATCCTTCAGAAATACTTAGATGAAAATATATATGCAAAAAGATGTTTTGTCACTGAAGTATTGTTTAAATAGTGAAAGATGAAAACAATCCAAATGTCCATCAACAGGGAATTAGTTTAAAAATGTGATTTAAAAAATAAGAAAGGAACAAGGTAAACACACAAACTAACAGATAACAGACACAAGAATTAAGGTAGTAAGAGCTTTCAGCTGTGTTAAATGAAAGAGCAAGTTATAGAAGGATATACATCATCTCATTTTTGTAAAAGAAAAAAAAAGCAAACATTCTACATACAAAGAAAAAGATATGAAAATATACGCAACTACACGATTGCGTATGTTTATGTATATACAGATAGACAGAGCTGTCTATGTGAATTTTATAGCAAGAGAAAAAGATCAAAAACAGCATTTTCCAATCTCTTAACAGTTGTTTTTTTCCTCGGGGAATGGAACTATAAGGAACTTACACTTTTTCCCCACATTCCCTTGTTTAAATTATGTGTGTATACATTACAATAATAAAAAAGGATTTTTTAAAACCATTTACACATGATACATCAAAGTACAATGTTATTTCTACAATAACCAAAAAAGACTTCAAAATCATTTACATTTGTATTGTTTAAGCATTCTTGCTGTTTGTAAAATACAAAATAAGTATGTCTTCAAACGAGATTTTAATATTTTTCTCAAAAAGAAAAGACAAAAACAACCACAAACATAGTCTAAGATTGGGTGAAACAAACTAAAGAGTTGGTAAAAACTCATGATTTATATGTATTTTACATACTAAAATATTTCCATACCTCTTTAATTTGCCGAAGCAATGCATTTTTGCAAGCAATTTCTTCTTTCTCCTGATCTGGTGATAACCGTAAGTATTCTCTGGATCTATGTGGTTTAAGGTTCATCTTTGTATACAGTTTTTCCCGAAGACTATTAAATAATACATTCAAAGTTCGAGGGAGAATACCAATATTTTCTTCTGTCCCTGTGAAAATAATTTTTGCTTTATATTCTTTCAGAGTATTAGGAAGGAAGAAACTTTCCTGGAATATTAAGGATCCCTTATGCTACCAATAGGGAGCGCTGGTGGCACAGTGGTTAAGCGCTTTGCTGCTAACCAAAAGGTCAGGGTAGTCAGAACCCACTAGTGGCTTTAAAGGAGAAAGATGTGGCAGTCTGCTTCCATAAAGATTTCAGCCTTTGAAGTTCTACTCTGTCGTATTGGGTAGTTGTGAGTCGGAATCGACTTGATGGTGATGGGTAAACCACCAATAGGCAAGAGTAAATAGCTAGGAGAAAAGTGAGAGAAGTTGAGGGATTATTCAAAGCTTTCCATCACTTTAGTCTTCACTGTATTACTGACACTTTATCAACTACTAAACCAAATGATTCCAACTCAAAGTGACCCTATAGTACAGAGGATAACTCACAGGGTTTCCAAGGAGCAGCTGGTGGATTCAAACTGCTGACCTTTTGGTTAGCAGCCAAGCTCTTAACAACTGTGCCATCAGGGCTCCTATCAACTACTATTCTGATGCAAAACCTGAAATGTAACATTCAGATCAGGCCAGAAATATTAAGATTTGTAATCAACCACATTCACAAAGTATAAAAATAAAATGAACTATAAAATGTGTCCCTGGCTATCCATTATCACATGGATTTTAAATTTTCTGAATTTTCATCATCATATTCTCTATCATATGGGTAAAGTAACGTCATAAGTCAACTAAATCAATGTGAATTAAAAGCCATTCGCAACACGTATTCAATATGCTGTTCCTATTAAAAATGGAGCAAACATACTAAGTGATGGAAACGAAACTATACACACATATTACGAAAATAGAAGAAGTGAATATTACTGCTTTTTTTCTTTCCTTTGACCAAAAGTAAAACCACGTATTTACCTTGAATTGTGTATGTTTTTCCTGAGTTGGTTACCCCATAAGTAAAAATCAGTCGACTTTGTCCTTTCAAGAGATCTTTTGCTAGCTGCTCAATGCAACCCTGAAAGAATTCCTTCTGTGTAGTTTCTGGGCCAAAAACCTAAATAAGCATTTTTAAAATTATTTTTAGAAAATCCAAGTTAATACTTACAATGAGTTCTATCTTCTCTCTTATGCTTTAAAAATTAAAAGGACTGGTTTTCTAAGATTCATTCTTGTAACCAGTGTAATATACTCACTCCCACAAATACACTTGATAGTTTAACTACTAAGTAGCAGAAAGTTTTAAAGACTGGAATCTGACACAGCCAATCAAGTTTTGATATAAGTTTTAAAAAGAATCTAACATTCAAAAAAAAAGCGGGGTGTGTGTATAAGTACTATACAATGATTTATTCACTTCCAACTACATATTTATAGACTTGAAATTTGATCCCTAAACTTGAGAAAAAATATCATTGCCTAAAACCTAAGGCTCATAAGAATAAATAGTTTATTATGTACACTTACATAGAAGTTTAACCTAAGACAAGTTTCTTTCTCTTAAAAAAAATTCAGTTTCACATGGGTACTTACCTTGGAAAAACTGAATTTCTGTGCCATCTGCCCAGAGCTTTTCTCAGTTGACTGACCAATGATGCTTTGGGGATCTTTAAGCAGAACAGTCTGTGAATCCAGAATACACACACAGCCCTAGAACATACACCCACAATAAATAAGTAAGAACAATGGTATTCTACCCATTTAATGAAAGTAAAATATTAAAACCCAATTAAATTCAACACAAACCTCAGATTCATGTTCCTTTTCTAACTGTGTTAATGGTCTTATTCGAAGACAAACCTGGAGATAATCTTTGGATTCCAAACTATTTACCTTAAGGAGAAAAAAAAAACATTAAAAAAAAAGAATGTAAATTTTCAGCAATCAGCCTTCTTTAATGTGGCTGATTGTTACATAACAATCTGAACTTAAAAAGAATCTCTAAGCAAACAGTGATGATTCTGTTTTTAAACATTTTATGTTTAAAGAAAAACTCAACAAACATGTTTTAAAAAACGAAATATACCACAACAGTCAATTTCCTCTGCCTTCTATATTTTACTTGAAATTTATAGTAAGCTTTTAGTGCCATAAAAATCCTAAACTTTATACCCAATAAAATTGACATGGTCTAAATTATTTTTAAAAACTAGAGCTCTAGAAAATCACAGGTAACCAAAATAGTCTATTAACCCAAATTCATGATTCCTTCAAGCTTTTAGTTTTTTGTTTTTTTTTTACTATATAACTCCTTACCACTTCCTTTGGAGTAAGAAATAAAATTACTTGTTCATTTTAAAATGTAATTTTAAATAAATTTTTTAAATACAAAAAAACTTAGAAAAAAATGAAACAATTCTTTGAAGAACACAACTTACTTAAACACACAGAAAAATTAGAAAATCTGAACAAGCCTATATCAATTAAAGAAATTCAATTAATAATCAAAAACCTTCCTATAAAGAAAATTTCAGCCATGGAAGTTAACTGGTAAATTCTCTCAAACACTTAAGAAAGTAATCATACAAATCCTCCATAAACTCTTTTAAGATCTTCCAAAAAATCTTTAAGAAAATAAAGGAAGAGGGTACACTTCCCAATTCATTTTATGAATTTGGCATAAACTTGACACCACTAGCTAAAAAAGAACGCCTCAGAAAAAATTACTGAACAGTATCCCTCATTAAGATAACTGCAAACATTCTTTTAGAAAATATCAGCAAACCAAATTAAACAATATATAAAATAGGATACTACATCCTGAACAAGAATGATTTATCCTAGGAATTCAAGGTCAGTTTAGCATTCAAAACCTAATCAGGAAGCCCCAGGTAAGTACTGAACAAGAAGAAGAACAAAGTAGGAAGACTTACACTACCTAATCTCAGAAACTACTATACAGCCAAGGTAGTCAAAACGGCCTGGTAGTGGTACAATGATAGACACACAGACTAATGGAACATAAGTAAGAACCCAGATGTAAATCTATCAGCAGCTGATCTTTGACAAAGGTCCAAAGTCCATTAAATGGGAAAAAGACAGTCTCTTTAACAAATGGTGCTGACAAAACTGGATGTCCATCTGTAAAAAAAAAAAAAAATTAAACAGGGCCCATACCCCACGCCATACATAAAAACTAACTCAAAATGGATCAAAGACCTAAATATAAAACCTAAAACAATAAACGATCATGGAAGGAAAAACAGAACAACACTAGGGGCCCTAATATATGGCATAAATAGGATGCAAACCGTAACTAACATTACACAAACACCAGAAGACAAACTAGATAAGTGGGATCTCCTAAAAATTAAACATTTATGCTCATCAAAAGACTTCACCAAAAAACTAAAAAGAGAACCTACAGACTCGGAAAAATTTTTTGGCTATGACATGTCCAAAGAACATCTAAAATCTACAGGAAAATTCAACGCCTCCACAATAAAAAGACAAATAATCCAATTAAAAAATAGGCAAAGGATATGAACAAACACTTCACCAAAGACATTCAGGCAGCTAACAGACATGAGGAAATACTCGCAATCATTAGCCATTAGAGAAACACAAATCAAAACTACGATGAGATGCCATCTCACCTCGACATTACTGGCACTAATCAAAAAAACAGGAAATAACAAATGTTGGAGAGGTTGCAGGGTGATTAAAACTATTTTGAGCCGCTGATGGGAATGTAAAATGGTACAACCACTATGGAAAACGATATGGCACTTCCTTAAAAAGCTAGAAATAGAAATACCACATGATCCAGCAATCCCACTCCTAGGAATATATCTAGAAACATAACAGCCGTCACAGGAAGAGACATATGCACACGCATGTTCATTGCAGCATTATTCACAATAGCAAAAAGATAGAAACAACCTGAGTGCCCATCAACAGATGAATGGATAAACAAATTATGGTACATACAGACAATGGAATACTACACAATGTTAAAGAACAATGATGAATCCACAAAACATCTCACAACATGGATCAACCTGGAGGGCGTTATGTTGAGTAAAACAGGTCTATCACAAAAGGACAAATACCGTATGAGACCATTATTATAAAAAACTCAAGAAAAGGTTTACACACAGAAAGAAACAATCTTTGATGGTTTTGAGGCAGGGGAGGAGTGGGCAGGAGAAATCACTAACCAGATAGTAGATAAGTGGTAACTTTGGTGAAGGGAAAGACAGTACACATAGGGGAAGTCAGCACAACATGACCAAGGCAAAGTCATAGAAATTTCATAAACACATCCAAACACCCTTAGGAACCGAGTTACTGGGATGAGGGCTGGGGACCATAGTCTCGGGAGACACCTAGCTCAACTGGGATAACATAGTTCATAAAGAAAATGTTCTACGTCTCACTTTGGTGAGTAGCATCTGGGGTCTTAAAAGCTTGCAAGTAGCCATCTATATATATGTACTGGTCCCATCCCATCCGGAGCAAAGGAGAATGAAGAAAACCAAAGACACATGGGAAATGTTAGTCCAAAGGACTAATGGACCACAAGTACCACAGTCTCCACCAGCCTCAGACTAGAACAACTAGATGGTGACCAGCTACCACAACAGCCACTCTGAGAGGGATCACAATAGAGGGTCCTGGACAGAGCAGGTGGAAAATGTAGAACAAAATTCAAATTCACAAAAAAAGACCAGATTTACTAGTCTGACAGAAACTGGAGGAACCCCGAAACTATGGCCCCCAGGCACCCTTTTAACTCAGAAGTGAAGTCACTTCTAAAGTTCACCCTTCAGCCAAAGATTACATAGGTCTATAAAACAAACAACAACACATCTGAGGAACGTGCTTCTTAGCTCAATCATGTAAACGAGGCCAAATGGGCAACACCTGCCCAAAAGCAAAGATGAAAAGGCAGGGACAGGAAAACAGGACAAATGGAAATAGAAAACCTGGGGTGGAGAAGGGCAGAGTGCTGACACATTGTGGGCATTGCAACCAATGTTACAACCCAATCTGTGTAAAAACTGTTGAATGAGAAACTAATTTGCTCTGTAAACTTTTACCTACAGCACACACACACAAAAAAATCAGATTTGTGGTACAGACTGCCCATGCAGATGCATACAAGCCTAGTCCTGCCCCTTCGCCCTCCTTGAGGTGCAAACCATCTGTGTAAACCTGGGCAGACTCCACTTCGCCCTTCATCCAATTCCAAACGCGCAGGCCTCAGCCCGCTCCCACCCACAGACCCCCTCCCAGCTGATCAGGACTGAACACACTGCCTGCTCAAGCATCCCAGCCATGTGGGACCCTGCATCCTGCCCTACTGACCACCCCCAGCAGGGAGGGATTCCACACACTGCCCAGCCAACACTCCCTCCTAATCTAGCGGGACTCCGTGCCCTACCCAGTCACCTCCTTTCCCTGACTGAGAGAGACTCTGTGCCCTGCCAACCCCTCCCCAGCAATGGGGGCATCCACATACTATCCTGCCCACCCTTCCCCGTGTTCCATCCTGCACGTCAGAGTTTGCACTAACTGCTCGTGGCAGAGGGAACACTATCTCTCAAGAGATGTGAAAGGACCTTGACCACCTGATGACTGGTGCCGCACATCAGGGAAAGGACCTGTTCATGCACCACCAAGCTTTCCTCTAAGAAAAGACACATAAGTCTAACAACATAAGACCACAGTGAGTATGTGATCCAATATATCCATCAGTGAGAAGAAAGCACACCCAGCCAACCAACAGCACCAAAGTCCTACCCAGACCAACCAACTGGCAGCATCACAGTCATATACAGACCAATACCACAAAACAACATCAAAGAGAAAGGGGAAAAAGCTAAGCTCCAGATATATCAAAACAGTACAAAAAAGAGAAACATAGAATCTACAAAAAATATATAAAGAAAATAATAGAAGCTTAATGCCTCAAAAACAGCAGCTAATTACAAATCATATGAAGAAACAGGATATGATGGCTCAGGCAAATGAGGAAAATAAAGGGATGGAAACTTTTCTGAGGAAGAACTAATAATAGATCTACCTGACAAGAAATTCAAAAGATTAATATTTAGGTTCCTCAAAGAGGTCAAGAAAAACACAGAAAAAAAACCCTAGAAGAATTCAGGAAAACAATGCAAGAGCAAAATGACAGACTCAATAGAGAAACAAAAACCATATAAAAGCAACTATAAATTCAGAAGCTTAACAATAAAACATCAGAAATAAAGTCATCAACAGAAGGACACAGACGTAGAATTGAATCAACAGAAGACAGGATCAGGGAAATTGAGGACAAACCCCTTGACACTAAGCTGTTTGAGGAACAAGTGGAAAAAAGATGGAAGAAAAATGAAGAAAGTCTTAAGGGTTATGTGTGATACTATTAAGAGGAATAATACATACATATTAGGAATTCCAGAAGGGGAAGAGAGAAAAAAAGAGTACAGAGAGAATTTTTGAGGACATAATGGCAGAAAAGACGAGAAGATTTCCATCCAAGTTCAACAAATGCAATACAGGATAGACCCCAAAAGAAATTCACCAAGACATACCATAATCAAACTTTCCAGAACCAAAGACAAGGAATTTTGAGAGCAGCTCAAGATAAGCAAAATATCACCTACATACCAACCAACCAACCTGTTTCCATCGAGTCAATTCCAACTCATAGCAACCCTATAGAACAGAGTAGAACTGCCCCATAGGGTTTCCAAGGAGCAGCTGGTGGATTTGAACTGCTGACCTTTTCTGGTTAGCAGACAAACGCTTAACCACCACACCACCAGGGCCCCATCACCTAAATAGAGGCCTCAATAAGACTAAGTGCAGATTTCTCATGAGAAAGC